CGTTGTTCCCATCAGACTTACTTGAAAACATGGTTGAGCGCATGAAGACACGCCATCCGCCTTACGCTCTCAGACGATGCCACTGACCGGTTGCAGTAAAGCATGTCTTGATAGTTGAAGAGAAGAGGTGCTACTGCCTTCTCAGCTTCGTCGAACTCGGTGTGCTTAGCCATCGATTCGGCTAGTCGTTGCTTGAGCTTAAGATCGCCAATTCCAGAAATGGAATGGGGAAGTTTCTGCTCAGCCGAGTCGCCTGTCTCTGGGGTGTTGTAGTATATCCTGTTGGAGTTTTTTGCTATCCTGTCGGTCCTCCACTTGTTCGCCTGAATAGCCTTTATCCTGGCCTGAAATGTCGCCTCGTCTGGAGCAGCAAAGTGAGTTTCGAAGGGGTCCGAGTCGTCGAGGTCGTCATCTTCGTCGAACAAGTCCTCTAATGGTGCATCCTGGGGATCTTCCTCTGGCTCGTCAACTGCATCCACGTCCTCCGTCACCTTCTCGCCGTCTTCGTCGTCACTATTGTCGTCGTCTTCCGTCTTGGTAGCTTTATTCGGACCTTCCTCCTCAGGGCGATCCAACTTCCTCTTTTTCGTCTTGGTTGCACTCTGGAAGCTCTTCAGAAGACTCATGTATGGCTGACCAGACTGGGCATCCTCCTCCTCATCCTCTTCTTCTGATTCCTCCATCTCATCCTCAGAAACATTGGATTCCTCTTCAGAAATGTCCTCCTCCTCATCTTCCCTGTTTCAGTCAGTATGCTTTCCAGTTCTTCTTTCCCTTGAGTGTTGACATTTTCTTACTCTTCGTCCTTATCGGCAAGTCGGGCGTCGTTGAACTTGGATGAGCGAGGGCCGAAACCTCCTCTGGCACCACCCCTCGAACTTCCCCTGCCGCGTCCTCTCGAAGCTCCTCTGGCGCCTCCTCTGGAGCCCCCTCCCCTGGATCCTCCTCTGCCTCTGAAACCTCCTGCACCACCTCTTCCACGACCTCCTCCTCCTCTTCCTCCTCCTCCACGATCACCGCCGCGACCTCGAATTGCCATTTGAATGCGGTAAGAATTTTCTCAAATTATGAGATGTGAGGTTGGTGATATGAGAATTGGTAATTGATGTGTGAAATCAAATTCAACAAAGGTGAAAAAAACGATACGGAAATTGTATTCAGCCTTGTCAACGAGCCAAGCAGAAAAAGTCCAAAAGTCCAATGGAATCTTGAAGGAAGGGCTTGGCAAAGAGCAGCCTTGTAACGCCACCCCTCCCCCTTGACCCTTGCGAAGAACAATCTCAAGTCCGCCAAGCTGAACATGGAAGTGTGGAGACCGGCTTATCTTATCTTAGCGCGCACAACAACCCAAAGGTCCCGCATTGCGCTGCAAAACCAAAAATTCGAGCAGAGGTCCCGCCTACTGGTCCCCATATTTTGCGAAAGCTGAATGGAGTACCTCTAGGGCGAATGAATGGAAGTTAGTGACTGCCTGCGAACAGACAGTGACGGACCCGACTCAACGGCCGGGCTGCCACCGAGACCCTCACACTGGAGTGCCATTGACACCCGGGCATCCTCAGTGAAAAAAAAAGTGTACAGGTCGTGTACCAAAGTGACTTCTCTTTCTGCCAGTGCCCAGCCCGTGCCCACTCACCAGTGCAAGCCCACCCCACCCCCCGGCCAACCGCTAGCCTCTCTCTCACCCCGAACCCGAAAACAGCGTCTGCTGTCTACATTTTCAAAGAGCCCCATAATCTCAACCTCGACGGCTCCTCCCCTCCTCCTCGAACTCCTGCTTCCTCTATCAACCACCACCACACCCCTCCACCATCTCTCACTCAACTACAGCCCAGCCCGTCGTCAAAATGGCTGTCGATCAGGAGTCTTTCGTCCATCTCTCGCGCCCCCTTGCGCCCAACGTGCTTGGCTTCGGTGTCAGCAATGCCCCGCTTACCGTCAACATCCAGCCTCAGGTACGTCAACCGCACCAATTTCCTTACTACAGTCCTATATCTGCCCCTCCACTCCTATCTACCTAGTCCCCTACCTTGATGTCCCCCTTTGCGCATGTCAAGCTTACCTACCTACCTATATCCTCTCTACTACCCCGCCGTCACCACCACCACTACCACCACTTCCATTGCCCAAGACCATACAACACCTAGCTGACATGTAGCCCCTCGCTTTCCTCACCAACTAGGCTGTCTTCTCCATCATCGACCATGCCGTCAGACGTGACGACCGCGACACCCAGTCGACACGGGTGATTGGTGCCCTCGTGGGTGTCCGCAGCGAGGACGGCAGCGAGGTCGAAGTGCGCTCCACCTTCGCCATCCCCCACACCGAGAACGAGGACCAGGTTGAGGTGGACGTCGAGTACCAGAAGAACATGCTGGCCCTGACGCTCAAGGCCAACCCCCGCGAGACCCTGCTGGGTTGGTACACCACCTCGCACGAGCTCAACAGCTTCAGCGCCCTGATCCAGAACTTCTTCGCCTCCCCCGAGACCGGCACCTTCCCCCACCCGGCCGTCCACCTGACCATCGGCACCGAGGCCGGCGCGACCATCGACACCAAGACGTACATCTCCGCTCCCGTGGCTGTCAGCCCCGAGCGCGCCGCCGAGTCGTGCCTCTTCATCGAGGTACCCCACAAGCTCCTCTTCACCGACGCCGAGCGCGGCGCCCTGGGCTCTGTCGCCGCCGCTGCCGACGCCGAGTCGCGCTCCGCCCCCGTCGTCTCCGACATTGAGAACCTCGCCCAGGCCCTCGAAACCGTCTCCGACCTGCTTGAGCGCGTTTCCGGCTTCGTCGGCGAGGTGCTCGACGAGGAGCGCGACGGCAACCACGCGCTCGGCCAGTACCTCATGAACGCCCTTTCCCTGGCTCCCAAGGTGTCCAACCTGGCCATCGAGAACGACTTCAACAACCACATCCAGGACGTCCTTATGGTCTCGTACCTCGCCAACACGATCCGCACCCAGATCGAGTTGTCCCAGCGCCTGGCCACTGCCAAGCTCGACGAGGGCAAGGAGGGCGGTGAGAAGAAGGATGGTGAGGGCGCCGAGGGCGACAAGAAGACCGACGGCCAGCGTGGCCAAAGGGGCCAGGGCGGCAAGCGTGGCGGTCGCAGCGGTGGTGCTGGTGGCCGCGGTGGCCGCGAGCAGAGGGAGCCCAGGGAACCCAGGGAAGCTGCCGAGTAAAGAGGACGAATTGGTGGAAAGAAAAGGGAAAGAGAAGAAGAGAAAGGAAAGAGAGAATGAAACTCGTTCTTCCAGTATCTTCTTTTAATGAAAGGCCACTACACACAATCAGGCAGGGGAAAAGAAAAAGGTTCACACACACACAAAAAGGATCCGATTTCTCTTACAATGAGTCCCTTTTGCGCGCGTTTGATTCAGTCATCAGCCGTTTTTTACACGAGAAAGCGGGCTCCCCCATTCTATTTACTTCTCGACCTGTGCGGACTGGAGTTGTCTCGTCTGTCTGCCGTCTATACCCTGCTGTTTCGCTACAGCGTTATGAAGTGCGCGCGCGGTCTCGGTTGTCGGTTATCGATTTTGGAGAGGGGAGCGAGAGAAAAGGAAAGCGGGAAAGGTGAGAGAGGGTAAAAAAAGGAGGGAGGGAAAGAGAGGTATGGGACGGCTTTGGTTGGGTCTCAAGCAATATGGCGTTCATAGGAATACTACTACTAGAGCCTTCTTACTCAGTCAGGTCAGCAGCATGATGAATTGATTTGGGAATTTTCTGTTTGAAAAACAACAATCTATACAACGCTTGGATCGTCCCGAACCGCCCGTGCCATATGATTTCGGAAACATGAATGCGAATGACAGTTTCCATTGATTCCGACCTTGCACCTTTTCACTTTTCGTAGAAAACGGCGTTTGGGTTGACTGAATGAGAACCGACTGTGAGTGGATTTGATCAAGTCTTTGTCTGCTTGCCTGTCTCCTTTGCGCTATGCTGCCTGCCTGCCTGCCGTTCCTGAGTGCCCCAATTTTTCCATAGATTCCAGACCTAAACCTCCGTCTCTTTTCTCCTTCATGATGTCTTATGCACAGTAACATTAGGAGAGGATTCCATGCCAACAACCGTTAGTAACAGCTATATGCATATACAGTGCTCACTCGCTCCTCCTTCTTTTTGCCGTTGTTATATTCTCTTCTTCTTTGGGCCATGACTGAGGCCATCATGCCCCATGGGTTCAACGCTGCCACCTTGCACTTGACCACATTGTCTCCCGCCGATCCTACATAGGAGGTTTCTGTGGCAATGAGGCAGGGTTTCCATATGTTGGGAGATGGCTGTAGCCTTGCGGTCCCGCTGGTCCGGTCGGCGGTGGTGGACCGCCTGCAACCTTGCTGTGGTTGATGTGAGGAGATGCGTTGGGGGGCATAGCATGATGTTGGGGTGGTGCGTGATGATACGGGCCCATTGAATTGTTCGACCCTTGCCTCGACATGGCATATCCCATCGGGCCGGGGCCATAGCCCGCCTGTGGTGGTGGCGGCATGGGTTGCTGGTAACCACCATAGTTCATGTGAGCCGGCAAGAACTGAGGGCTGCTATGGTTCGAGCTTGCATACGGACCCGATGGCGGTTGCATCGGGAGCATGGCGTTGCCGGGCAAAAATGATTGCGTCTTGGGGTTGAGCGTCTGCCGGTTGTAGCTGCCGGGAATTGGGTGTTGAGTTTTCGGATCGTTGGGGTTGGCATTCGCTGGAAGTTGTCCGTAGGCATATGGTATTCCTCCTGGGGAGGGACTCGATCGAGACGAATAGCCGGGCCCGGGCTGGTTGAAGCCTTGCTGTGGCGGCCCCCATGCTAGCTGCGATACACTGGGCATGGGGGGAGTGTATGGCGGAGCAACTTGAGGGTTGGGTGGAGGTTGGTAACGATGTTGCTGTTGCACTGGTAAAGCCGGCTGGGGGACAGAGGGGGCGGGATACTGATGGTGAGTTAGAAAAGATGATCATATCTTAACGCCGACTTTTTGAAGATGACTTACGTTTGCCACTGCGCCATATTGAGGAGCATATCCGTTGTTTGGAACCATCTGCGGATACGCTTGGTTTTGCGGGTACGCTTGCTGGGGGACATATGCTTGTTGAGGCACATACGTCGGGACCGCAGCTGGGTATGGTGCTTGATATTGGACGTTATATGGAACATTGTTGATGGGGTACGCCTGAGGTGCCGGTCCCCATGTTGACTGCTGAGGGCCTCCATAATAGACAACGTATTGAGACCGTGAGTCGAAACTTTCCGAATCATCGCGACGTTGCTTATTGGCCTTCTTCTTGCCGTTTGGTTTGTCCTTGGCAGATACCGAGCTCGCCCGAGAAACACCATTGGAGGTTTCACCGTCTACACTGCGTTAGTCCTATAATTCCTTATAGGTAGAGGAATTCCACACGAGACATACCTTGACCCGAAGAATCAGACTCCTTCATGTTTCCAAAGATTCGCTGCCTCGCCCGGTTATACGCCTCTTCCCGCTCTTCCCTAGTCATTCTTTCCTTGCTAGCCGCAGGCTTATCTTTAGGGTCACTGCCAGCTTCCGACGTGGGCTTTGAAGGATTTGCGCTAGAAGGAGCAAATTCCCCGTCCTCACCACGCCGCATAATCTTCCTTGGTATCACAGCAGGAGCCGGAGAGCTCGTGTTAGAGGTCGACGGCGCAATGGTGGATAGTGGTGGAGGAATTCTACAGAACGGAGTTCTGTAAATGCGAACTGCGCCCGAGACCGCCTCGTATGAATGGGTCATATGATAGTAGTCCGCAAGCTTATGTGTCAACATTCTCCAAAACGTATTGTTTGGTGGGAAATCCATAAACGGCTCCCTACAAAGACACTGCGTTAGCGACTCAAAGACTTGACAGATGTAAGTGATAGTCTACATACTTTGAATTTTCCACAAACTCAATGACTTGCTGTTCCATCTTCAAGAGACTGAACCGATCTTTCTCTGATCGCATGGCCTCTAAGAGCTTTTCATCCGGGTGCTGGCTTAGGAATCCTCCATTCGCCGTCAAGGCATCAGGGGCACCTGGACCGCTTGTTAGGGGCAGTTCCGTCTCCGTCGCTGGCTGTTTGTCAGATATGCCACTTTGAGGCGTAGCAAGACCCAGTTGACCATGACTACCAGCCATGGCATGTGTAGTGATGGCCCGTGGGGGCATATCTCCGATCTGGATGCGGTGGATACGAGCCGCAACCTCGGAGCCCATTCGTGAGCCGTTGAAGTAGGATCCACGGATGGAAAAGGCATCATCGTCCTCAGTGGCAGCCTTCATGCTGGCACTATCGTCTGGACGCAACGACTCCTTCTCGTCCAATGCGTTAAAGGTAGTCCCAGAAGTGATGCTCTTGCCATCCAAGCTTGGTGGCTTGGTGCCGAGCTCGGAGCTAGAGTCAGCCCTTGAATTGTCGTCCGAGGGTGTCTGGCTGATCACAACCTTGTTAGGCATCGATATAGAGCTGGTCAATGGAACTTCGAAAGAGACATCTGATGTCTTGGTCTCGAGCTTCAAATTTCCGAGTCCGTCAACGATGTTGTCCTGCGAAGCTTTCACCTCATCGGCAGTCCTTTGCGCAGGCTGGGGTGCGTGTACATCACTCTGGATCGAGACAGAGGCGGCGGCTACCATGATCGGGACCGCAACCTTATCGCGGGCGGTCACCGGTGCGTTTGCTTTCGTAGCAGTTGCCATGGTAGCTGAGTCTTTGGATGCCGAAGCAGCTGCAACCTGGAGAGCACAAGTCAGACACAGTCTTCTGGGCGCAACACTGGGTTCGAGGTGAAGAAAGCCCACGTACCTTTGCGAAAGATAGTTTGACGTCGTTGCCCGTGGATTGGAACGTCGCCATGGCTTTTGCGGTGTAAGGGATGCTGGAAGAGCAATGCGGATGTTACAAAGAGTCGCGCAAGTAGCCGAGAGTGCCTCTATGCGTGTATGTTTGTCCGGTGAAGATCAGGGCGGTCGAAGAGAGAACGCGCTCGGCAGGTCGGATCCGACAGAGGAATTCGATGATGTAGCTTTTTGATGGGACGGAATCCAGCTGAATCAAGAAACGAAACGGATCAAAGCGGCGCAAAGCGAAAGACGAGTGCTGGTGATCATTGTATTCGGGGATCCGGTCTAGTGTAGGTAGGATGTGAATGCGCAAGTGTTGCAGCCAGTGCCAAAGTCGAGTCCTGGACTTCCTCTGCCTTGTTGCTTGTGTCGTGCCTCTTTTTTTTGGTCTTTTGCTGGGGCCTGTCGGTTTGGGGTTCCGGTTCGGTGCAGGTACGATGAAAAAGGCCGAGATCCAAAATGGCGGACCACAAAGTGGAAAGCCGACGGCGCCCTAACTCCCAGAAAACAGTAAAGTGTCTGGAAAGGGTGCCGCCACGGTTGGGCGGATAGACCTTTGGTGGTTGATGGGGAGCAGGAGGGGCGTGGTGTTGCTTCCCGTTTGTGTGGGTTTCTTGGTTTGTGACGAGATAACTGAAAGTGGTGGAAGTCGATTAAAAGTGGTGGTTGCACCCGAAAGGAATCCATCGCCGGGCGGGAGCCGGGCTCCTCAGTCCTCAGGTGGCCGTGGGTCGGTCTAACTGCAGTGGGACTGCCACCATGTTGCAGGTACGGGTAGGGGACCGCCTGCCGTGGGCCACCGTGGGCCTGTCTGTTGGCCTGATTTGTAGTAACTGAACGGTGTCAAAATCCCATCCCTTCCATTGCGCGGGAGCAAACGTGCTGTGTACCTCTACGTAGTGCGCTTCCTGATTTTGACAGGGCCCTTGATTTTACCTACCTCTAGTCTAGTGTACTATACGGTAAGATACCTTGGATACTCTACCTATGTATGGCCTACAAACTTCATCTGGAGTTTATTCGACGGCGCTGATGAGGATACAAGCAGGTGCTCTACCGCTAGGTATTCATCCACACAAAGCACAGTGGCTCAAATATGGTTGATTGGGAGTATGACAAAAGGAGGGGAATGAGAGGGAACTGGTTGAGAGGGGTTCAGTATCTTGGCTGCAAAACCGGACAAAGTCGTAGCCATAAAAATTCGTGATTTTCAGTTTACAATACCAAGCTGGCCGAGATGGACGCCCCGTAATGCAACTTTCATAAATTCATCCATGCTTCCAGAACATGATGACAACCCGAAGATCCGATGGGTTGTCTCGCACGGAGAGAGATTTGTCTCATTGAAACTACAGTGATCCTAATGATTATCTAGCTCTGCGCTGAAGGAATTGGAGGACACGGAGCGGCCCTTTTCTGAAAAGCAGAAACAAGTGCCGGATGAGTGCTCCCATCGTCACCTGCAACACCCACCCTGGTGCACTGTGCCACGACCGAAATGCTTCATCTTGGCAACGTCACGTGCCTCCACCTGTCGACAACAACAATCGCACTTGTGCTTGGACCTTTCTCAACTGTCAATTTCACCGCTGACACCTTGTTACACAACCCACCAATCAACCTCCGAATCTCATTCATTCACCAGAACTGGAACTCATCACCAAGTTCAACTTACCCAGGCACTACCAACCAACGCCATCCTCAAGTATCAAAACCATCAAGAAGAAGCTTCACATCTTTGATCGATCACTTCACAAGTTTGACCGAAATCATTTAACAAGCAACGACCTCTCGAGTCGAACGGCACCCCGACCTGGTTGGCGTTGTAAATTAAGGAACAGCAGGTCAACGAGGACAGTTCACCTTGATTTTGCATAAAGCTCCAATTTCCAGGGGCCAGCCACATTCCAACAGCCCTTCCGGTTACCACCATGTATCGAGGGCGCAATATACCGTCCAAATCAACTCCGTCAACCGTCCAATGCCAGAAATGCCTAAAGAGAGATAAGTGTTCTCTCTACTTCAACAATACATGTATAACACGCAGCTGACATTCCTAGAACGTCACTATTCGTATGAGTGTAAAGCCTCAGCCGCGGAACGGCCCTACATCCCGAGGCCGTCGCGCACCCAGCAGCTCTTTAACCCCAAGCTGCTACCCAAGCTTACTAGTGCCGTGCCGCCTCAGGACAAGAAAGGTGTGGCCGACGAGATCCTAGCCCAGAGGGAGGCTGAGCGGGCCAAGAAGAAGGAGCTCGAAAGGGACGACGAGTCACCATCTAGAGACGTGAGCCCAAGGCGAAGCAGGAGTAGATCGGCTTCTGTTGATTCGGTGTCGACCATCTCTACACGGTCTCCATCCCCAAGGCCTTCTCGCCATTCCAAGTCACCTCCACGGAGAGCACATGCGCAAGACTTCTTTGAGCCATCGCCCAAGGCGCCTTCGGCCCGCCAACGCTCAGTCGACTCCCGGGGTCGGTATTCTAGCCGGAGGTCAGAGAGCCCGGTCAAGCACTCATCGCGGAAAGGGTCGCTACCTCCTCGTCGTCGTTCGCCGTCGCCCCGCCGTGAGCGCGGACGTGACTCCGGGAGGGCAAGGCCATCCAGGCGCGACTATTCTGTTTCCGAGTCCAGATCCAGGTCACCAGTTCGCTCACCGGTCCGGCGAGACGGCAGAGGAGAAAATCACAGGGCAGGAGGATACTACCGGGACAGGGAAGATGGCCGTGGACAGCCGAGATACAGGAGTCCGTCGCCGCAACGACCTCCAAAGCGCGAACCGTCTCCCGCGCCACCGCCGCGCGAGCGGAGTCTCAGCCCTTTCAGCAAGAGATTAGCGTTGACACAGGCTATGAATAAGGGTAGATAGGATTTGCGGGGTGGGTATCAAAGTAGAGAATAGCATACTTTCTCTGTAAAAACAAAATCATAACAGTAATCCTCCCGAGATTTGGGAGCATATTTCGTCCTCGTCCTCGTTCTTTTCGACCTTGTCGCCCCTCTCGGTTCCACTCTCCCGTCCACCTTGACCGCGTGAATTCAGCTGCCGTCAAGTCCCAACTCTTCAAGCCTCCAACTCGGCCTCCTCCAACTCCCTCTCTCTCCTCTCCTCCTCGGCCTCCTCCCTCTCCCTCAACTTCATCCCCTCCACCAGCGCCGTCCCCTCCAGCATACCGGCCTCCTCCTCCTCCTTTCCGTCTTTCGTCTTATCCTGCACAGCCGCTTGCTTCTTGGCTGCCAGCCGCTCCCTCACCATGCGCGCTATCGCGTTGTCCGTCCGCACGTTCAACACCTCCATCTTCTGGTTCAGCTCCCGCTTCAGGTCCCAGTTGGGCTTCTTGGGCTGCAACTTGAACAGGTCGATGCCCTTGTTTTCTTCGGCGGCTTGCGCGTCCAAAGCAGCCTGCCGCTGCGCTTCCTCCTCGATATCGGCCGCTTGCTCTTCTAGTGTCGGTTTCTCAAGCGTCAGCGTGGGAGGCGCTTCGAAGCCTAGCTTGGGCCCGCGCGTTTCGAAGTCAAAATTGCGCCCGGAGAGGTGGAGGCGGGCTACGTCGGCTGTTGGGGTGCCGTCTTTGGAGTCGACTGTGGATTCTTGCTGGTTGTCGCCGTCGTCGTTGTGGTTGGTGTGTTGGGCTGGGGAATCGTGGGACTCTTCGCCATCGTCGAAGGATGTGGGCTCGGGTTCTTTGCGCTTCAGAGACTTGAGCTTGGCTAGACGGGCCTTGCGGTCGTCAGCGGCGGCTGCGAGTGTCGCGTGGGATGACATTATTGGTTAGGGTGTCTTGCTTGTGTTGTTTGAGATGTTGTAGCTGAATCCTTTAACTCTAACCAATCTTGGATCAATTGCGTCTTGCGAATTCGGTACTGCGATGCACTGTTTGGGATGCCGTCGATAGATGGTGGAGGAGTGAGGTTCTGAAACTGTGGATCTCATTCAGTGACATGGAGGCAGGGCAGTGCAGTGGAACGCGCTCCCAAGGTCCCGCGTGGGGTGGTTCGGTTCCCGGTGACGCTTGTGTTAAGCACGGACCGGGCTCGCTAAAGCTTAGCGCCTGCCGTCCCGAGATCCATCCCTGACGTGAGCTACAGGCCAGTAAAAAGCCGAGCGCATACTGCTAGGTAGAGGTATGTAGATCGCCCCTCCAGTCACTGTGCCGCGCATCTTATCACCGGCCCGGATTCCTGTCTTGTCAAAATTTTGGTCGTTTTTGATACTACGGCGACATCGCAACCCGACTTTCCATGGTCGTCGAGTCGGAATTGGACTCCCCAACACACACATGACAGACGATGCCAAAATACACTCCGTCATAGAAATCGTTTCCGCCTACGGCTCTATCTTGGTGCCGGCCCGTCGGCCTCCGGAGAACCATGCAACAGGCTCCGTTCATATGCCGGTCATGTCTCTCCAACCTCCGACAACAAGGCGATCCGCTTCAGCTCCGGCTTTCCCTCCGTCCCCGGCCGCTGGTGCGTCCTGTTAGCTCTCTCACGTCCTCGCCATCCGCCCAGCAGTCGTCGAGCCAGCCGAGGCCAGCCACCGAGTCAGAGGGAAATGAGCGCACATGCTCAGACTATTACGTACCATTGAAAGGATGGCTATATCAGTGGAAACAGGACCGAAGGGTCCTCCAGAAGAACGTCAGAAAGAGTGGCTATTACAGCAGCCTGGTAGACCTCTACCGTTGGAAGAGAAGGTTCACCCAAATATGGGCGAAGAGAGCCTTGGATAAGAAACAGAGAGACAAACACCGAGACGAGGCCCTGCAGTCAGAGGGGCGCCCCGAGCTTCACATAATACAAGATCTACTTTGCCAGAGGGATGTCGACCACATGCGGCAAGCTTGGCAGCTCATACCTAAAGAGAGTCGAGTAAAGCTCTGGCGGCCGGTTATGGTCGACGCTCTCCACTGGTTCCCCGACCAAGCCCCGGACATCTTCCGGGCCATCTTTGAACGAGACAAATCAAATTTCTACGCCATCGTCGACAGTTTCCTATACATGGCCGACTATCTGCAGAGGCTAAAAGGGCCTGTACAGTCGGAATACGGGAGGGCCGTTGCTGGGGCCTTGCTTCACTGCTACCACAACACTCGGAAGCGCTACATCTGCCTACGACAAAATACCATCTACCATATACTTAGGCATGCGACAGTGGACCAGGTCTACGAGCTACTTGTGGCCATCAAAGAATACCGACAGCCATTACATGTCAACACGAAGCAACATTTTGTATGGTACTTGGCAAAGGAGCCAAAATACAAGCCGGCGGCTGCTGATCTGTTGCGTGAGATCATTCAGGATGGTCAGCTGCATGTCAACGGGCTGCATTGCGCCGCTCTGGCTACCGCCATCCTGACCTTTCCAAAGATTTCACCGGGAGATAAAGAGGACGGCGAGAACCTCCCAACGCTTCGCTCGCAACTAAACCAAGAGCTTTTGGAATTCGGACTTCAGCCCAACATCATCCACTACACAACTATTATCAGGAACCTTTGCGATAACAACGAACTGGAAACTGCGTGGCAGGTCTACGACCTTATGACCAGTCAGGGAGTCCAGCCAGATCTCCATTTCTATTCCCAGTTGCTGCACGGAGCTACGCTAGCAAATGACCACCGGAGCTTCCGCCGCATACTCGAACTCTTACCAAGTGAAGCGTCACAAGATCGCGTCATCATCAACGGTGTCCTCACCTTTATTCATACCACAACGGTTTGGGAGCTCCGAAAGCGGAAGATGAAGCCACCAGTCCCCATTCCAAGCTTTGAGTACATGTTTAGGACGTACTCCAAGCTATTCGACCTTGGTCCTTTGCAAGCCCTGTTGAATATCGACCTACAAAGCTACACCGCAGAAACACACCAGCGAGAACTCGATGGAATGGCCCCTTCGTGGTCCGGCTGGCAGAGTATGCGATCGCTCAGGAACACCCTGGCCCTTATACCCGAACTCGAGGCCGAAGCACGTATTAAGCCAGGCAACGACACGCTCAACATCATGGTGACCTCCTTCATCCGCAACTTCTCCCAGCCCTCCAGCCTGATCGAGTTCTACTCCAACTTTCGCAACCGGCTCAAGCAGGGTGACCCGACCATTCTCGCCTTCGTCGCCACCAAGGGCACCATTATCCACGACACCATCATCAAGGCCATCCTCGAATGGCAAGGCACCAACATGGCCCTTGCCGCCCTCGACATCGTCAGCGACATGCTCAAGGACGCCGCCGCCTCCCGCGCGCTCTTCGACGCCGACCCGCAGAAGCCCGATCTAGAGCCCCGCCACCCGGCCCCGAGCATCTACACCTGGTCCGTCCTGCTGCACGGCTTCATGCACCGGCGCGAGCACCGCGAGCAGGGCGACCGCATTTTCAAGATGATGCGCGACCACGGCGTCGAAGCTAATCGCGTGACCTGGAACACGCTGATTGCCGGTCACGCCCGGCTGCAGGCCGTCGGCAAGACGGCGTCGGCGCTGCAGCGTATGGAGGCTGCGGAATATAAGCCTGATCGTTTCACGTTGAGGGCATTCAGCTACTTGCTCAATCGGGAGGGTGCGCTGCAGATGATGCAGCGGTTGGAGGATAAGAAACAGAAGAGAAAGGCGGCGTTCGTGGCCAAGTTGGCTGAGGCGGCTGCCCAGAACGAGAACTCTGAGGACATGTCCAAGATGCCTGATTGGATTGCGGCGCAGGACGAGTATAGGATTATGGAGGAGCAGCTGAGGGATATTAGCGAGAGCGTGGTGGTTGAGGAGTCGCTTGGTGAAAGAGGAGAAGAGAGGGAAGTGGTCAAGGCGGCGGAGGAGGAGTGGGAGGAGACGACGGGGGAAATTGAAGGGTTGGAGGCGTACAGGACGAGAAATGTCGCGAGTGCTTCAAGCAGCTTGTGATGCATAGTCCGGTTTCAGGCATGTATATGTACCTACCTCTAGGTGTCGGCAGGCATGTAAGTTATGGGAGTCGGAGGTTGGAGTTGTACAATATATCTTGGAAATACATGACATCGATCAACAACAGCATGTGAACACCACCATTTGCCCCGCATTCCTCAATACTTGCCCAACTTCCCTGGGATTTCCTGGTACTCGGCTTCCAGATGACGCAAAAAACAAGATCGCGTACCGAATAATCTCGTGAAACTCAGAATCCTTTTCAAGTAGAGTTAGCTGTACTCTGTAGGGTTCGGTGCATATGAAGCAGCGTCGAAGTACACATGACAACCAAACTGGCGGTAACTTTAAATGATGCAAAAATTCTTGTAGTGTTTTGTGAATCTAGTACTTATGCCTAAGTCTAAGTACATGATTCAACTGCTTGAGACTATGATAATTGCCTCCTTGATGATTCGGCCGCAGGGGCCCGCCGGATCCTCCGATGGCCGCTTCGCTGTGTTCGGGTGTTATCCCGTCCTCCGAGCATTGCTCTTCATCGGAACAACGAGCGAAGAAGCATCCATCCCACCTCGAACAATATTCGTCGTCCATTGAAGGACTAGCACTGCCCGTCTACGACCAAATCAGCCGAGAGGGAGGTACCTTTACATAATCTCCCCAACTCGAAAAAATCAAAGAAAGAAAGACAAGAACCAGATGAAGCCTACACTAGGGAATGACAACCTGCTCGACAACAAGATACCTATCACCCCTCTAGATGATTCGGCCGCAGGGGCCCGCCGGATCCTCCAATAGCCACTTCAACTGTCCAAGTGACATTCCGTCCTCCAAGCACTACTCTCCTTCCGAGCAACAATGGACTCGAACACCTATCTCGCGTCCATTGAAGGACTAGCACTGCCCGTCTACGACCAAATCAGCCATGAGGAAGATTGTGGTGCGTTAGCGTTAAAGTCAAACATGATATGGTCCAACAAATAGCAAGGCGGACAGAAAAGATGATATCCCCAGTACCGACTAAAGCTCCTTCGCCGTCTGTGTCTGGGGAAAGAAAAACTGCCCAAGACTTGAAGCCCAAAAGAAGAAGAAAAGAAGGGGAAAAAAAGGTGATCCATGTAACGGTAGAGGTACGCACGCCTGCTACCGATATAGGATGGCGATCAGCCGCTGGCCATCGAAGCGAGGATGGCCTTCTTTTTCGGTCAACGGCGGCCAAGACGAAAAGAACGAACATTTCAGACAGCTTGAGAATGCGATATTGCTGCCGGCCTGAATTCGGCCGCAGGGGGCCTGCCAGATCCCCCCAATGGTAATACCCTCTCGTTGTTCGGGAGGACAAACGTTGTTGTTCTTCCGAGAATTGCTTCTTCATCGGAACAACGAGCGGAAAAGCATCCCGTTTGAGCCGAAACAACAGTTTGCATCCATTGAAACGAACTGGAACTGCTCGTCTACGACCAATTCAAACAGATTAGTGGGTGTGGCAAGGTCTCACAGACCGTCTGAACTTGTCCCATAGAAGACTTAAAAAAGGTAGAAGAATTAGTATTCGGAAAGGGTTTCCGAGTGTATCCCCTGAGGAACGACGACGGGATTTCTTGGCCGTAGAGGAAGGTTTTTTTTTTTACGTGCTCCTACTCCTCAGGGGTGAAGTTGTTTGTGATGTTGAACGTCTTTCGGATCTCCTCATGCATGAGTAGAAGTCGTTGGTAAAGTTGAACGTCTTGCGGATCTACTCAGGCGTAGAATCCAACGATGTTTTCCATAGGTACCCGCCGGTCGATGCTCAAGTATAGATAGTTAGCGCTCGCCCCATTTTGATGCAGTGGGAAAAAAGAACACTTACTCGGTGCTCTTCTTTGCGACTGTTGTTCCATTGAAGAGTACAAAAGAAAGTCCAGAGGTGCACTCGACAATGCATCGTGGTTGAAGACTTGAAGGTGTTCCTTGTCACAAAAGGCGAGGTAGAAGATGATTAGGGAGGAAGAAAAGAGGAAAGTGGGTAGGAAGGAAAGGGGAGAATGAAGAGAAGGGAAGGTGGGACACAACTAGATGGATCATCCCACTTCAACTGGCTACCCCAAGCCGTTCGCTCGAGCAGCCAGTTTGGTGGTCCCCAAAAAGCCAAACTACCCCAACCGTCTTCATCACTCGCCTATCCCAACAACCACCCGCTGCTCCAACCTCCTAGCCAACCTGACCACCGGCTCATCCACCCCTCTCCAAAACACATCCGCCACCCAGATCACCAACGGTATCACGGCTAGACTGGCCAAGACAAACCCCGTGACGTACTGCTCATTCGTCTCCGTTCCTGTTACCCGAGTCCAGGTGAACTTCATCATGGTATATCCGAGGGTGTGAAGCACGGGACCGTGAACGAGGTAGATGGCGTAGGAAGTTTTGCCGAGGTGTCGTGCGATGGAGGATTCAAAAAGGGTCTTGGGGTTCAGGATTGAAGAGAAGATGGGGACGGCGGTGGTCGGACCAGTGTTGGGGGAACATGAGCCGGCGACGGATGGGGGGTGGGATGAGGAACCAGAGCGGGAATCAGAGGAGGATGGATACCGGGAAACGGAGTAGACGAAGAGGACTGCCCCTATGGATTGATAAAAGCGGTAGTGTTCTGTCCACCAGTGAGGAATTAGGGAGGTGAGGGTAATCCAGCCTGGGGTGAGGTGGGAGTTTATGTCGGGTTGGGAGAGGAGGTAGAGGGAAATTACCAGGAGGAGTGTCGGGAAGAGGGTGATCCCGGCAGGGAGAGATCTGCCAGCTACTGCTGTTGTCGGCGGTGATGGAGTCGGTGGTTGGTGAGACTCGTGAGAAGTCTCGTCTCCGGAACCAACAATGGTCATATCCGAGGATATATCAGGGCCTCTTGCCGTTGTCTCTTGCGGGTGTCGCTGGGGATGACGTCGCTGCTGCGGCATGACATCTCCCTTCCTCGCTAACACCGGCTCAACAACCGGCAACACTCCTTCTCCTCCGTTCCTCTCCGCGAAACCGCCCTGAACTCTTCCTTCTTTCTCCTGTCTTGCCTCTACCTCCCTGATCAGATCACTCTCCGCTAACACCATCCCCATCCAAAACAAACACATCTCCCACCTTTCCCATAGAAAGGCAAACCCACACCAACCTAACACGACTCCCCTCCTGACCCCCCTATTCAACCTCGCCGTCCCCAGTATTGTCAAAAACAACACCATGGAAGCCCGAAATTCCACAGGGATCGTCCATAAATGGACATCAATCCCCGTTGACCCCGCAAACGCATCCCAATCCCACAGGTGCACAAAGTTGAGCATGGCATATGTCCAATCAACAAACTGCTCCGTGGCGGACTGGAATCGCTCGTAGTGGATCTCCTGGACGTTTCTCAGAAAATTCTCGTCTGAAGCGAACTCGCGGTTCCATTCATAGGCTCCAAGCCGGAGGAGGAGAACGATGAGGAAGGTCGAGATGGCGGGTGGGAGAAAGAGCCGGAGACCGCGCCGGAAGACAAGCGAGGAGAGGGTTTCGAAGAGTTTGGAATAGTTGCGCTCATCAGCATGAGCTGTGGTAGAAGAACCGGATGAGCAAGAAGCCGAGTGGATAAGTTTGAGTGGTTTCAAAGATATAGCGTAGCCGGAGATGACGAAGAAGATACACACCATTGGTGGCCCGGAGTAAAAGAGCCGGATAATGGGTAGTTTGAGGAAATTGTAGTTGCTCCCTCCCGAGCCCCAGCCTTCGGCGATGACGAAGCATGTGTAGAAGTAGTGGCAGAGGAAGACGGAAAACGCAGCGATGCCGCGCATGCCGTCCAGATACGCTGTTGGGCTTAGAGTCCGAGGTTCCTCATCATGTCTCTCCTTATCCCTTTTCTTTTGGTTCTCTGGTGATGCGGAACAAAAGGGGCGTCGTCTTCGTATGCGAGACTGGAGAAAGCTTGGGAGAAGGAAGCATGCTGAGCGAAGCAAAAGAGGACGTATTGGAGGGATTAGATGAGAGATACGATGCCTCGGATTCCGGGAAAAGAAGCCAATGTTTACTCTAGGTAACCAGCCGAAGATGGTGGAGTGGCGGCGCCGTTGGTGTTGAGGTGCACTCCCGACTTCTTGCTCCTCATGGCCAGAATTGGGCTCGATGTCGGGAAGAAAGGCTTTGTCTGTGTTGAGTTTCAGACCCACGCTTGATGTCTCCTCAGCATATGTATGATTCATGACTGCTCATCACTGAAGACGCTCAAGGAGCTAAAGCTCCTATAGCCCAGATAGGGAAGCCCCGAACCCTTTAGGCCGCGTTTGACCCTTGCTGCTGACCCATCCCTCGATAGGAGAAGCGGGGATGGGAAAGCAAAGTCTGCGCCGTAATCAACAAAGGCTAGGGCGAGACATGAAGAAAACTTGGTGAATTTGGGAACTCCGAAGACTGGAGCACCCAAGTCACCAAGCCTTCTGATCAGTCGAGCCCGATGGAAGTTGTGACTGGTGTCTAGAGACTGTTAGCTTGTGTCTCAGGGATATCGAGCGATTGTGTACTTACTACGGGCAAGTTTAGAATGAAGAGGCGATGTGTACGAAGAGGAGATCAGGATGTGGAAGTCTGGTCTGATGATGGAGAAAAAAAGAGGAGGACAAACGAACTCTAATGGCCAGGACCGGAAGTGCTTTTATACAAATTCTGGAAGTCTGAAAAGACCGTGCCCAACAGATCCAAAAGACCTTTGAATCGTGGCCAGAGTGATGCATGCCTTCTTTTCTTCCAGGCACCTAGTTATCGGCACACATGTCGTCCAGATTTCCGACGCATGTTTGCATGAGAACAAGTGTTCTGTACCTATATTTCAAAATCCATGGCACCCGCAGAATACGCGAGGAAGCCTGGAGAGCACCAGCTTCTGTAGACACCATAACGGAGTTCGTGGAGTTCATCCGTAAAGACCAGGGGTACAGTACCCCTTCAAGCGCTTCGGAGCATGTACTGCGAGTCGAGAAGGAGGATTGCTACTTGTGTTGTAATCGCAGAGATGGATAATACCCTGGAATCGTACTGCCACGACGTTTATGTGCAATGACTCATTCAAGCGTCGTGCCTCTTCAACATTTGTCATGATTTTTGTGCATTTTTAAGGTGAGACCTGTCGGCAAGGCAGTACTTTATGAACTTGGGCCATACGTCTCAGCTGACTATTGCAGACTGAACGAAACTCATCCATGACCCAAACCTTAAGGCACTCAAGCTGCATCGCTGCATCTGTGTAACTACTATTGATGAAGCTGCCGGTTAGGCCCTGTTATCTAAAGACGTGTGGTCAAAGTTTATGCGATACGATGAAGTGACATTGTGCAGTGTCAGGCTTTTACCTAGTGGAATGGAGGGAAATGCATGAGTGGCAACTGGACCTCCGGGAGGTGCTCGAACAGATACACCAACTGAATACGCCGGGCATATGTGTGGGTAATGCACTCGCTGAATTTCCAGGAATCATTAGGAACTAAAAGGAGATAAATAGAATACCCGTCGGTGCCTGGCGGGAGGAACATGTGGTCAGCCAAGGGTTCCATGACCCCCAAGTTTCGACACTCTTTCATTTCTCTTTCAACTTGAACCAAACAACAAACTTCTCATCAGCCAAATCTCTTCAGTAAACGAGTCACAGTTCCCGAATCCTTGTCAGGGATAGACGAAGTGAAGTGAGCCGATAGCTGCCGGGAGAAGGACTTACCTGATCATCGGGTTTCTGTCATTGGTACACTCCCTATTAGTGTTCTTGCCACAACAGGGCTTCGTGAACTCTCTTGATGCTGTAACGGTAGATGCCAACGGAGACGCGACTAGGACGTCAGTCCGAGAACAAAGTAGATGAATTTGGAATCGTGTGGTTCTTGTGTTCTTAAAAGAAAAAAGAGAAACAGAAAGGAAGTGGAGGGAACCCCAATTGAAGCCATGAGTTTTGTTCATGTCCCGGCCGCACAGTTACTGATTTAATCAGCTCTGTGGTCAAGTGGGTTTCGAAGAATTTAAGGGAATTCCGGACAGATATTGACGTGACGGCGATGCCATCGCAATTATATATACCACTTTGAATGCGAAAATGCCAGCTTCGGTTACTTGACTGGAACTCGGCTGATTCTGAAAGTGGTTCGATTCCGGTCTCGGAGAATTGAGGGCAATGCGTTGTTTCGTAGCTGCATACATTCAGTTCCTGCTGGTAGTCGTGCATATATACGTATGCCTGTCTACCTATATAACGAAGATTTCTCCAAACCCCGATTTGGATTTTCCCATATTCTGTAGTTTTAATTTCGGTGCGAAACAAAAATAGGATGAAAGGACGCCAATGGTAGTAACAGTCATCCACGTCTTCCTCTACTGATAGCCTGCATACGACCATTAGTGTACATTCCTGTTTGTCTTTTGGATAATCAGAAGAAGTCGCAGAAACGTGCGTGTGGTTTTGATATGGCCCGTGCTGACCATACTCGGTCATGTCTTTTTCAGAGTAATTCCAGACCGACGTGATTTTAATTAACTGACGGTTAAGGCTGTATATGTTATCCCTGGTAGATTGTAGGTTAAGCCGTCGATTGGGCAGTTTAGGGATTTGAAGGGGCATACAGTATAATGTAGGTCTGCGCACCCTGGAGAACTCATAGCAATCGTGGAAAGGTGTGGGATGACGTTTCGTTGACATCGAGAGATGGTTTTCCTAAAGAGACCCATGCACTGTTCATTGTGCAAGGAACATATGTGTTTCCAACTTGGCAATGGACAATGTTGGCGATTTGGTTTTTTATGAGTATCTGAAGCGATCGCTCGTCCAGTTCAATGCTTAGAAGACGATGCAAAGTTCGTATGAAAGAGGCGCGTTTATTGATATGTACTCCTTTTACGTGCTCGTGCATCATGACCCATCCCGTCCTGAACTTTTTAACCCAAAAACCCGTAGTAAGATCTATAACCTGGTATAAGAAAACATAAGAAACGCCGAAACACCCTGCGCCAGCCATTGCATTGACTCCTGCCCTAATGTTGACAAAATCATGTGGAGAGCCAGTCAAGGAACTCGGGAACGAAGTAGCTGATGATGATAGTGGCGCCAGCCCGGAGAATACCCTCAGTGGCTTCGAAGGCCATAGCCTTGAGATCGAAAACACCCGCCTTTGCAGCGGCGTGGATCATGGCGAATTCACCGCTGACCTGGTAGGCAGCAACGGGCAAGTCCTTTCCAAGCTCCTTGGCGTCACTAATAATGTCCAGGTACTGGCTTGCGGGCTTGACCATGATGATATCGGCACCCTCGTTGATGTCACGAACAATGGCACGACGAGCCAAACCACGGCCTCCAGGAGGCAGCTGGTAGCACTTGCGGTCGCCAAACGAAGGGCATGAGTCGGCAGCGTCACGGAAGGGGCCGTAAAGGCAGCCGGAGAACTTGGCGGCGTACGACATGAGCGTCACACGGTGGACAATACCCTCCTCGATAAGCTTGAGCTTGATGGCACGAATGCGACCGTCGTTCATGTCGGAAGGAGCAACGCAGTGGGCACCGGCCTTGGCGTAGGCAAGAGCAACGTCCGAGATGCGATCGACCGATAATTGGTTGTTGAGACTGCCGTCATCGCGCAAAATACCGCAGTGACCATGGGAAGTGTACTCGCACAGGCAGACGTCGACAGTGATGTATAGCTGGGGGAATCTTTGCCTCAGCAGGCGGATGCTGCGAATGACGGGACCCTCGGGATCATCGGCAGCGGTTCCCAGCGCATCCTTGGTACCGGGCTTAAGAGGGACGCCGAAGAGAATGACGGAGCGAAGGCCCTTGTGGACGAGCGGCTCGAGGAAGGGAACGAGTCTGTTGATGCCGCGGCGATATTGGTTCGGGAGAGAAGGAATCAAAACCTCTTCATCGTCGTTATCGGAAACGAATAGGGGATAGATGAGCATGGACTGTTTGAAAAGGCGATGAGTTAGCGACGAAGAGTCATCAGACAGACAACAGGCGATGGGGTGCGCACCTTTGTTAGTTGACGCTCGGCCTGCCACGAACGGGCAAGAGGATGGGCATACCCGCCATGGAGCTGGCTGGAGATATCACCGGAGATGCTGACGCTGGTGGCGGCGGTGCTGGCATAGGACATGGCGCGGGAAATGTGGGATGTGCGAGAAGCGCGGTCGTCGATGGTAGAGACTGAAGCGTCACCGCGGCGCCTGGGCGCATTGGGGTCCCGGAGGGAGAGGTCTTGTACAAGGCTGGAGAAAGACATGGTGTCGTCTGACAGTGGATTCGAAGCAAAAGTTAAGCCCGTCTATCGTTCTTGCTGATGCTCTCGAAAGTGCCTCGCGAGAGAGGATAAAATATGTTATTGTTGGTGTAGGTAATGGTGACCGTTATAAATACGTTGCTTATGATAAATCAACCGTAGCCCAACCTGGCCAATGAAAAGAGTGAATTCGTACGCGGCGGTAGCGTTGACACTCTCGGAACGTGCAGTGGCGGGCGGACAGGCCGGGGAAAGATAGGTAGTGCCGCTGGCTGGCGCAACTTGCTCAGTGTCTGGACTGCTGTAACCTTCTCTTCTTGTTTGCCGACCCGAGGTTCGAGGTGGATAATTTCGGATTCGGGAATACAGCGACAGCGATGGAGTTGCAGTTCCCGCCTGTTTAGGGTCAATCTGGAGATTATACGGAGGCGTGTCCCCTCTCGAAAGTGAAGTGTGGGCGAAGTAGAGTCGGGTGCTTGGGATATCCGGATACCTATAACCTCTGTTTCCGCAATTCCACTCAGGCAGTGTGGATGAAGGCGCTTTGTTCCTCACCTTGGACTTTGCTTTTCCCGCTTCGGCATTCGGAGAAGTGCTTGCCTCTTTCCAAATCCAGCGGCCATTCGCCAATCAGATCTGGAGGATTTCAAAAAGAGTGGATGCCAGTCCGTGCGTCTACCGCACCACCTGCACCTCCTCGCACGTCCACTCCTCCCAAACACTCATCGACTTCAAGTTCTTGTCGCCCGTTCGATTTTTCGCGGATCCTGCTGACCTTGCAGTGCTGACATTCGGAACGGCGCAAGCGACCTAAGCACGTGCAAGGGGCTACTCTGCTGACGTAATCACTCCATCTCTTTCAACGACAAACGAATTGCAACTCAGCAAAGACACACCTGCCAAGAGCTACGTGATAGTTTGAAGACAACATCAGTTGACCATGACAAAGTCCGCCTCTGAAAACACGAAGTTCTTACGCTTGAAGGATTCCCATTGATCTGTGGGCTCCAATGAGTATTTTCTGGAGTCGCTCGAGAAATACTGAATATCCGAGCAGATGTTCACGAGTGACTTCGCTTCCTTCACTGCTCGATAATCCGGGTAGTAGACATAGGCGGTTCAGACTCGTCCTGAATGCAAGGTCTTGAGTCGTTACATTTGAACATAACGGCATGCTTCAAACCATCTATAGGTATACTATGGGGAACAGGCAGATTCAGCTCACGGGGACCGCATGAAGCGCTGGGGGAAGAATCTGCGATTGTTCTCATCCTGTCGTCTTGATTGAACAAGTCTGTTTCTCGCATGACAAGATTCATTGCTCACCAGTCTCAACCTTTTGGATTAAGACGACCCTGTCATTCAATGTACGGCTGTTTGCATCTACCTCTGATGTTTTAGCTTGCCAGAAGTGCAACTTTTCCCGAGCACGCTTGATAACATCGCCTAGTTATATAGGGACTATGTCCGTAACGATCCCCTATACTGGTTGATGGCCATTCCTGTCTTCGCTAGCCAACCGCCTATCAGATCTATCTCAACTGAATGTTCGACGTCCGATCTTTCTGGTCCTGTGTCAGCCGGTTTGTGTCCATCCTCGAGTGAGTGTCTGTCATCGGATTGGCGATGAGTTCCACTCATTTAACTCTTGATCAGATAAGATGGATACTTTTGTAGTCTCGGCTCACACTTGGCCATCAAGGTTCCGTCCAGGAAACAAAAGCCTCGTCCCAAAAAGCTCCCTGCATGACTACCTCTACCGCTAGTAGTAGCTCATAGGATCCCCACTGCAAAATTGCTCTCGTCACGAGTCGGCATCAAGGAGGAAGGAACGCAAGTGGAGGTTGCAAGTACGCCTGCCGTGACGACCGATCGAAGGAGATGCACCTACCTCTAAGAGGCAGTTGATTATTTCGGACCCGAACACTCTTTCATCTCGAACACGTACAGCCCGAAACCTGCCCCGAGCCCACCACCTTCCCCTAGAGTCCAGCAATCGCCGTTTGGTCCGATGATGTGCGGCGCCGAACTCGAGTGTTTCTTGGCTGAACGAAATTTCAAGACATCGTGACTAATTTCATTCTGCAGGCAGCACTTGCTTCCCAGGTTCACTTCCGCTCCCCTCCTTCCAACCTTTCCCGTCACAACCCACGAACCTTCACCAGCACCAGTCACTTGCTCATTTCCCGTTGACCCCTTGAGGCATCTCCAACCTCAACCTGGCGCGCATTGGCAGTCATTCTTCATGCAATTGCTCGTCACCTAGGTGGTCTAGAACAGGCAGGGAGAGCAACATGCCCCAGGCAACAGACCTGATTTTGTAAGCCCCTCTGATTTCCGCCGCAGCCATCGCCGCCTTAACGCCAGCATTGAGTCGGCGACACTGACCTTGTTGCAGTTGAATTATCCGTCCCAGTGATTTAAATTGCCCGAACAACAACAGTGTGCCGCTGCTTCAACCCAAATCTGATCCATTTCGGTGCCCGTCTTGGGCCCAGCCACTCCTTCACCCCAAACCAAGTTTTCGCTCATCCAATTTCCAGACCTCAAAAAACCTTAAAGCAAACACAATCTCGTGGCCTAGTCAGCAACGAGAATGACTTCTACCACGGTAACATACTCCAAGAAAAAATCTCTTCTTTCTTTCATGCAGCGCCGTCCTGACACCACAATGCCTTCGCGGCGCAGAACCATGAGCACCGGTACGTCCAAGTTCTTTCTTCCACTGAGACAGCAAACAATAAAACAAACCCGACCAGCAGCCCACGTATCTTGCGCTTTCACTGCCGCGAAGCCCCAAGGCCTTGTTCTAATCACGCTTGCAGTATTCATTGACCCCTCCAACCAAGAAGATCCCACCATCCGTCTTCTGGAAACACAGTTTCAAGGGACCAGTCAAGGCACGTCCAACAATCGCAATCGCACTAGCATCGACGAGATGGCCAGCGCGCTTCTTGAAGATACAGTCATGACCTCCGCCATGGAGTCGCCGATCGACCAGGCCCCTTACGTTGCCCCGGACGAGACGGCATGCACCATTACTCGTGTGTATCCGCATCCCATCCACAACACCGGCATAGTTGGCGATGCTGTTTTAGAGGCTGGAGTGGAGGAGGCGCCCGCCGCTAATCGAAAGATTCGCCAGCGACCGGTTCCTGTCGTGCGACCCTCGCCCAGCCTACCCAGAAGGTCGTCGAGACGCCGATCCACTCGCCAGCGACCATCTCCTCTAGCTCCTCCCCGCTGTGACTACGTCAAGGGGCTCCCAAAGTCGAGCACCGGCGCTCTGAATCCCCTGGCGATGCACCCGCCCAACAGTAGGATGACCAAGCTGCCTGCATCGGCAACAATGCCGTTGACAAATCTTCACGAACAGCCCAATGCTGCCCCAGCGACCTCCAGCAAGCCAGTGGGTCTTGACGCTTCAGAGATTGCCGAGAAGATCGAAAAGATGTTAGCCGCTACCCAGGCACTCAAATCAGAGCCACACCTTGCACAACCTACAACCGCCATTCCCTCCAGCAGCACGTCTTCAAAAGTGTCTCGCCTCGTCAAACAGAACGGCCTTTTCAAAAAGGTTTCTCACGCGCTGTCCGAACGGCGGCTCTTCCCCAAAAATCAGTCCAAGGACTCCAAAGTACAAAACATCGAGGAAGAGGAGGATGAAGCAGAAGTCGTGGCACCAGGTGGCGTTGCAGGGAAGAGGTCAGGTCTTAAGTCGATCGAACTACGCCTTAATGAGGGTGTGAACTTGAACAAAGACAAGGTTCAGAAGATCTTTGGCGGAAAAGTTCATCGCAAGCCCGTTTTCATGGAAGGCAAGTTCTTACGCGCTCGTAGGTCGCTGGATGATCCTTTTGCGTCTCCAAGTTCACTCCGACGACCTCTTACCGAGTTCGAAACCCGTCTTCGGGGAGGCTCCGTGGACGACTCTGTGTTGCCGCCTCTTTCATCCCAAAATCCATTCGAATCGGAAAGGGTGATGGAGAGCAGCCTGGACTCGATACTGCCGTCTACTCCCATTGCCTCGTCGACACCTCGAAGGGGCTACAAGCGTACTTCGTCGCCCAGCGAGAGTCCTACCAAGAAATGTCGTGGCGGTCTGCGAAGCCGGAGCATTGATTTGGATGCTAGTTTACCAATGGGCCTAGGCCTTGACAGTGAGCAGTCCAAGAAGCATCCCTTGGCTTTGTCTCCTGGACTTGCTAGTATCTTCTCATACGTCCCAGTCGTGGACGACGTCGAGAGAAAGAAACATCCTTCTCCTGCTAAGCGTGACTTGGAGCTCATGACCATCGAGTTCCGCACGCAATATCCGGATGTGCCATTGGGCCGTGCGGCTGAGCAAGACGAGCTGGACGAGCTTGCTCGCAGTACGCTTCTCTTGCCGGACTACGACTCCGATCGCCAAAACAGGTACCTTCATCCATCTTGCACCAGCCGCCCCGCCAGCAACCGATCTGGGGAGAGTACAGAAGATGATGAGGGAACGGTACCCTTGCTTAGACCTAGTCGACCTCGGCCGCTGTACACCGCGCCGGTGCGCAAAGCGATCGTCAAACCTGTCGGCATCACTCGTTCGCGGACGGACTCGCAGCTTACCTTGAACCCTTATCTTCGACATATGGAGACTGATGAGCTCCAGATGGGTTCTCCCGCCATTAAGCATGGTTATAGACCTCTAGATTCTCAAGAGGTCTTTTGAGACGAAGAGTCTTAGGGTTATGGTCATGAGAATTACGACCTTCGACACGATTTTACGTCTTTTGTTTGGATTTTGTATGATACCCATGATCCAGCTCGGTCATCCTATCTTCGGTATCGCAGTTCTAGAATTTTTCTTTTTCCCGCGACCACAACCAACTCATGGTGGTTGTGTTCGTCTTTTCCTTGAACTCAACAAATTTTTAATGGCCTTTGGCTGGCTTTCCAGTTCGTCAGAGTACCTAGGCTTGGAAGCAAAGAATTGGGACATTGGCGTCGTCGTTTCAAAAAGCACATAGACTGCACTGCGATCTACATATTCTAAATCGTTGATGCAAACTCTTTCTCGGGTTCTCTGGCTGATGTACATACCTGCAGCCTTACTTTACTATATCTTAGTTTGGTCACTTGAACGTAGCATAAGTTCCCTCCACTCTAATACTTAATAAGCATACCATCATGATGGCCGAGACACGATTATTGCAGTGATGTTAATGGATGTGTGCAGTGTCTTGTGTGATCGTTGTATAGCTCATGCGCATGAGTCTATAGTCAGACAACTCATCCCACTGTTTGATATGTTGTATGAAGTTTCATTTGTGCATTCAAGGGTATCTCTCTCTGCTTCTGCCTCCACATACAAGTACATATCCATCATCAGAACAAAAGAAAGAGACATGACAAAGCGGACTGCACAATAATCTTACAACTGCCCGCTCCCACTCAACTGTCAATACTCAATACTGATTTCCCTTTAATAATGTCTCCTCCTCCCCCGTCCATCCGTCCCCCGCATCCTCCTCGTCCCCGCAGCCTTCTGTCCCGGCCGTCCCGTAATGCTCCCCTTGATCTTCATCAGCGCCCCGCTGATCTTATCGCCGAGGCTCGTCTTGCGCTTTTGATGGTGATGAACGGCGGCTGTGGTGCCCATGGTGGTAGCAGCAGCGGGGGCAACCATTCCTTGTCCGTGGTGCCTCTTGCGGCCGTAACCGCGGCGGCGGGTGGTGTGGGTGGTGTGGGTGGTTGTCATGGGTGTGGTGTGGTGAGCGCGACGGCGGCCGAAGAGGCCGGAACCCATGGGACGGGTGGTCCTGGTGCTGGTCATGGGGGCGTGGGCACGACGGCGGCCGAACATTTTGTTTTTTTCTTTATTGGTTTTGGGGTTGGGGTTGAGGCTGAAGTGATTTGTGTTTGTATTTGGGGTGTTTGTGTGTGGAAGTAATGGGCAAGTATTGACTCTTGAACTTTTGGTTTGGAAGTCTTTATGTTTATGAATGTAGTTTGGTTTGACGTTGTTGATGTTGATGAGATGGAACCAAATTTGGAAGAGGTGAAGCGAGGCCGAGTTATATAGCCGATGATTAATCTCAAAGTTCGTTATTTTCTTGGTTTTGGTAGTCAAATCGGACGTCATCCCTTCTTTGCAGTCTGTAGTGGGTGGTGGTCATGGTCATGAGGTTTCTCGAGGATCCCGTCAAGCCCCATCCCGCTTCCTCGTTTTCGTTGATTGTCGTCCCGCTGTTACACAAACGTTCTTCAACTTCCATCTACGTAGCCACACACCACCAAATGACGACGCCAGGTTGTTCAGTCAACACCAACAGATACCACACCCACTACGCGAAGCAATAACAAGTATCCAATACCTAACGAGACAAGCAATTATTCTACTTTCTTCCCATCCCACTTACACCGACACAGCCACACCTGAGTGGCCTGACGGTCCTTGGCCTACCTGGCCACGCACTGGCTTCCCCTTGGCTTCGTCAACATGCCTTGAGGATGACATCAAGGGCGATAAAGAAGCTGGTGCGGTTCTCCCCCCCCTCCCCCCCCTCGTATTATCGGACTTGGAAGATACCATGGCAGACTTGGCTTTTCGGGCCTCACATCCTATCAGTGTCGTCGAAAAGGGATGGTGTGGATGGACCCTTTGACGTTCGTCACTGCAGGACCCTTGAACCTGCACTTGCACATGCACCTGCGCCTATGCCTGTGACTTACCGATTTGACGACATGCCATGCAGAAGCAATGTCAGTTTCACCTTCATCATCACATCGCCTTTGACGGGTTGCGTATGTTCAAAGTCAGATCGGCAAAAAGACGTTGAGTGTACACGCTTCCCACGTTGCACGCTAACGTCAGTGGCGTCATCCCGCCTGAGTCGCCTAAGTCGCCCGACATGGTTATTGGCTGCCCTATAACCAAGCGAAGCCAGGCCCTCTCTTTCAGGGAATTCAGGGTCCAACAGGGGTGGCTCACGTTAGAAGCGCTGTGGCCAATAGCGGTGGTTTACTTGGAAAGTCAAACCTGTTTGAGTCCGATTTGAAGGTGATGTCACTTGAAGGACGGTATGAAGTTGAGGTGAAATGGTGGTGGGGTGACGATGAACTATAAGCTTTGGAGTAGTGAAGATAGAGGTAAATGAGAAGAAAGATGGGACGATGGGATGACAGATGGAAAGGGTTGATTTAGGGTTGACAGGTCAGTGTCTTCGGGTACCATTGGGGAGTGTCGCTTGTCGCCTGCTCTGACTTCCGTCAATTACCTCTAGACATTAGTCTCTATGCTACAGTGTATCACTCTCTTTCATGGGTCACGTAACGTCCGAGACGAGAGTCGTATAGTGTCTCACCAAAGACCCATCCCTCAAAATCCATACCCTCTAGTTCTTCGGCGCTCAACCCCTTCCCACAAGCGTACACCCTCATCTGCAGCTGCACCTCGCCTACACCTGCACCTACATCTGACTCTAATCCCCACCTCCCATTCCCATTATTCCCCCCTCAAAACCCTCCCAATCCTTTCCACCTCCCCCTCACTCAACCCCAACACCCCCCTCGCATACCCCTTCCATCCACCATACACCCTCTTAACCTCCCTCACAAAAGCCCTCCAACACTCCCTCTTCAAAGACACCAAATTCACGAACCCCGGACTCTCTACACTCCTGGCTCCAGCTCCCTTCATCGCAAACCCCAAAAGTTGCTCCCTCGCCAACTCCGTTCCGATCCGACTCAACATCCAATCCATCTCCACGTCCTCCTCACTCACCCCCGCCAAACTTAGGAGCAATCCAGCAACCACACCCGTCCTATCCCGTCCCGCCGTGCAGTGGAACAATATTGGCTCCGGTTTTTGATCTTCAGGAGCATCTAACAGACTCCTTAACAAAGCACCAATAACCTCCTCATACCCTCGTAGAACATCCATGTACATCTTCACGTACCCCCTTTCTCCTTTGCCCTCGAGGAAATCGGCAAGGTTAACGGTCGCTTCTTTTTCCGTGGCTTCCGCGGCGATCCAGTAGTTTTTTACCCCCGCGATCTCCGGGTCGGGAGCATGACTGTGTTCCCTTACGGAACGGATGTCAAAGATCTTTTTGATGCCGAGCTGGGTTGCCAGTTGCGTCTTGGCGGCGTCGTTGAAGCCGCCATTGGGAAAGAAGCCGCCGGAGCGGTAGATAAGGCCTGGGCGAATTCCGACTTTGCGGCCTTTGCCACTGGAGGAACTAGAAGATAAGGGGAGGAGGCCGAGGTCGCGCGTGTTAAAGGTGCCGGGGATGTAGAGGAAGGGTGGGGTGGCGAGGGCGGCAAAAATAGATTCTTTGGAAATGGGTTGGGTTACATCTGTTTGGGAGAGGGCAATGAGGTCGGCTTTGGAGAGAGTTGGGAGGGCCATCTTGGTGAGTTGGTTTGGTAATATTGGTCAAGTGAACAGATGGAAGTCGATAAGCACGTTGCCGCCGGGAATCTCCTGTGATTTCTATGCAGGATGGTTGTCGTGATGGAGAGTAACACTGAGGAGAGAAATGACATGAGACTTCGTGTTTATTAATGCTTATCATTCAGGGGATCCTCGCACGCCTTGCAGGTTATATCACTTCTCACCGCCAATGATAGCAAACGCAGATCACGGAGGGAGGGAAGCACAGGATGTTGATGAGGTCCTCACCAACCCCGCTACTTCCCCACAGTCTCGGGACCGAGGCCGGGTGCTAACCTCATACGGCAGCAAGTAAACAAACCATCTCATGATCCCCTGAAAAGTGGAGCCACCATCTGATGTCCATCCGAACTTCAGTGTTTGATCATCCAAAAAGAGATTCGTTCAACGTTGCGATTTCCGGGATAACGTTGTTTCAAAGGATAATCATTCGAATATTCGTCTACGAGGGCGACCGAGGAATTTTTGCAACAGGGCTACTCGATCAAACTTCAACCCCGGCCTCATCGGACTAACAACGTTCAAACCTCTTTCCTTGCATGTCCGCTTGGGGAGCCCTCCAAGGGCCCCAATTCATCCAACTCAATCCTGTCGTTCCCGTCCTCTTCCGAAGAAGTAATAAAGTCAACCATGTCCTCATCCTCCTCAGGAACGGGACGCTCAAGCACACTCCCGGTGTCTAAGTCAGAATGTGCTTTGAAGGACAAACCATCCGATCCTGGAGGCACTGTAAGAGTAGGTGTTTGCTTACCAGCCCTCGCTGGTTCGGCATCAAACCGATAAAGACCAAACCTGTTTTGTGACGCGGTATCACCACGACTTGGGCCTGCTCCTTCCGGCTGAAGTGGCACACCTAGGTGCTTGTACATCGTGCGTTGGGACTGACCCTGCTTTCTCCTTCCCTTGCGACTACTGACTTTTCGTATAATGTTTGTTGTCCTTGCTCCAATCCCAGTGGCATTCTCAACAGCCATACGCGCAGACTCGAGCGCTGCCCGATTCAAATGTGCGGCCGATTCGTCAATCAGCTTGTTCTTCTTCCGGATTTCGGTCCATCTTGTCATAGCGCCCAACTCCAGAATATTGACTCTTCGGAACTGGCTCGATGGATTTCCAGGAAGGCGTGGACGCCAGATCTCTTCATCTGTCATGGTTACTGGAAGGGGTCTCCCAGCTTTAATTTCGATGATAGATTTGCGAATGCTTTCACGACGGATCTTCTGCCACTTCTCCATCTCGACTGTCTTCGAGCTTGGGATAATTTCGATTTCCTTGAAGCGAACAAGGACTGCAAGCAAAAGGACAGTCAACAGAAACAGCACGCCAGCTACGATACCAGTTGCCTCTCGTTGACCGAGGTTTCGCTGTGCTCTTCCAGCCACAGTGGTTGCTAATGCCGCAAGAAGGAAGCCAAAGGTATGACAGACAGCAAACCCAGCAGCTATCCGCGGGTGTGACGAGTAGTTCGTGCGCTTGGGTTGCTTGTTCGAATACCCTCTGGGACGTCCAATCATACCCGGGAGTAGGTCGGAACAGTCGAAATTCTCCATGATGAGTCCATTACATTCGGCTACTGCCAGGGCGGATATGGTGCCCATCAGAGTGGCAAAAAGAACAGGAACAGGTACCGGTATGTGGCCTCCAGCGGAAGACACCGTGTATGCCATGCCTAGGATAGGCAAAAGGGTGAGAAATATGGCGCGGCGAAGAAGATGTGACGTCCATGTAAACTTTTTGTCGAGAAGTGTGTCCATGTTAGACAGCTGAGGGTAGTTCCTGTGGCGAGAGAATATGTTCGCCTTCTGGAAAGGTATTGAAACCAGTGCGCCAATGGAGATAAACGCAACGCAAAGGCCAACCAAAGGCGACCGGAGCCTGTAATCCTTGGACGTGAGCGAGCCAAGCAGACAGATGACGAGAATCACCTGCGCGTAGATCCACCCTACATATACGGCCATAACCATGAATCCGGGTTGTCGAAGCATTTCCAGTGATAGCAAAATCCCGTGCTAGACTTCCTGCCACCACCAGGTCGGACCATCTTTCACCCGATGCATCATGACTTCCCCACGAGCGACTCTCCGTGACACCTGTTTACCGTCCTTGACTTCCGCCACAGATCGTCTGAAAGGGGAGCGTCGGACTTCCGGGCATATAACATTTAGAAGAAGCACGACAGCTATCATCATGATGCTGACGTAGAAGCCCCATGAGGGGTTAAAATTGTTGATGATCGCTGCTCCGATCAGAAATCCGATGCCAATGGACCCAGTAAAGCACCACGTCCACAGTCCCAGCCAAACGCCCATGCCGCCTCCGTGTCTTCGTACGTCAAACTTGTCGACTACCTCCTGATGTGGAGTTCCGCTCATGAGCGAGGCCCCAAACAGATCTGTCAGCATGGAGTGGAAGTTCATACTCGCGAACCCAAGAGTGAGCCCCATGAATCCGCGTGAGCCTAGCAGAGCCCACCTCCAAGTGCTCACATATGGTGACCGCCATGTGCTGACGGCAATAGCCTGGGGGAACAATAAAGGCATCGCTAGTATCAAACTTGATAGGATGTACGGCTTCCGACCGTGCAACAACGGTAAAGGCCAGAAGAAAAAGGTAGGAATGGCCAAGCCCAAGTAGAAGAAGAAATTACCCAGGATAGCATAGTGATTGAGATCAGCTATCCAGTACTGGATGGATGGGACAAGACCAGCATAGATGCCGATGACCATGCCGATGAACGCGGTGCTCAGACATGCGACTCCGGCAACGAACCTTTTACGGGCAGTAGACCAGTCTCGGGCTACTGGTTGTCGACGGTACGCTCGTGCCAGGCTAAATCCCTGGTAACCACGGAGGCTGACATGAGACCTTCCACGCAGATCAATGCGAGTATCTGGCGCGTCCCTTGGCTCCCCTTCCCCCAGGCCCCTTGAATCATCGCCATAAGTCCATGAAGCAGCTTGAAATTGCTGTGAACGGCCCCCGGTTGACGTGGCTGGTCCATCGAGCCCTTGATACTAGTCAATATATCGTCCAGAATGATTAGTTACGCTGGATATTACTAACCTGAAGCCGGAACCCTGCGTTTGAGTGATGTACGAACAACTGTGGAATCACTCTCATCACCGGGGGTATCCATAGCACCATCAGCTTGTGGCCGCAGCGAACTGATATGGCGTAGAGGCCGTATCGCGCCAAAGCTGCGGTAGCTTCTTAGTTTTGAAGCAACCCTCGGCAGACACCCGGACGGAGGCGGCGAGTCTGTACTGGTTGATGAACTAACTGGGATTTCTAATCTTGACGACTGCTTGGTCCTTAGGCCAGCTGGCCCTGGAGCCGGGCCCTGCGCTGGAGGTTCTCCGCCTAGTTCTTCGTAGCGAGGGCCACCCAGAGTCGAGTAGCTTGGTTTGATCTTTGGTTTCATCAGACTGGATTTTCTTTTTGGAATTTTGACTGCCACGTTCCTACTGTGCATTCCTGGAGCTGACCGGTAATGCTTCGGTTTCCGTATGTTATTTTCACTGCTATGATCTATTCCCAAGGCGCGTTCTACAGCAGTCCAGTAGTCAAAGTCGCCAACCTCATTCACCATAGACCCATTTTCGCTGGGAAAACTCTTGTGTACGCCGGGAGGTGTTGGCACATTGCAGTAAGCAAGCTCGTCAAGCTCATAGTAGTCTGGGCACTGGTGGTCAACTTCTCGTTGGGCGGTTGCTGCTGCCAGCTCCATTGCTTCACTGAGAAGATTCTCCAGGTTGTTGACAGTACTTCGGAATTTCATGTCTATCGAGGCACCGGCTGTGGATTTCCTCAGCAGTGATCGAGGATACGTAGAGTCATAGTCGTCCAACAAGCGCTCATGCATTGAATCCTTGCGCGGGAGCTCAGTGAATTTCTTCTTGTAAGGCTGTTGCTTGATAAGATCTCGTAGCCAGGCTCTTGTGCGGTTCAAGTTTCCCATGGCTGATGACATTGCCGCTGAGTTGAACTTGTTATCTGATGGCACTGAGATATGCTCAGCTACAGGATAAAGCTTTTCTTCGGGTGCTTTACCGAAATTAGTACGATCCGTGCTTCCCCTAAAATCAGGAGAAAAGGTCGTAAAATCGGCCCTAGGTCGATATGGCAAGCCTTGCTTGGCCGGCGTGGCATTGTTGGCATCGTTGCTACCTTGCATTGACTCCCAGTATGCGACGAGCTCGGATGCTGATTTGTGTTTTGGGAATCCGCGCGGCGTCACTGCCTGGCCGATTGCAGAATCTTTTGAGCCATCGCCGTCATTGTATGGCTGCATCTCTGGTGTGAAGGAATAACCATAATGATGGTTCATGCGGCTGTCGGTGGACTTGAGGTGGCGAGGGGAATCCAGACAGGCTGAAATGTTATTTGAAGTGTTCATTTCCCCATGAGAGGGTGTTATAGCCGCAAGGTGATGGCTCGCAACATCCACTTGAGCTTGCGTGTGGTCCGTGGGACTCGGATCCCGTGAGGCAATGTAAGTAGCCAAGTCAAGCATTCCCTCTTGGTGGTACAAGGGCGGCAAGTTCGGCGATGGAACAGCTTTCAGTATCCCCTTCTGCCCGGTGAGATCAAATGCGCTAGACTTCGCGAGCTCCGCAACCGTTCGAACTTTTGGTTCTAAGCTGCGGCCATGCTGGTGGCAGCCTTTCGAAGTAACTGACAGTTCCTGAGACACTTGACTATCGGGCAATGTATGGTGGACAAAGTCACTGCTTGAGGGGTCCTGGTTTCCGCTCGTCTCTAGCCATTCTTTGAGGGGGTAGAGATTCTACCTCTGCCCAGGCGGACCGTTGAGATTGTACAAAGAGCCGGACGGTTCTTCCTCATACGTTGCGCCATAGAAGTAATCACGCCCTGATTCTAGTGGTGAATCGAGATCATGGGGTGAAGAATCGAATGTGACTCGGGAGCTTGCGTTGCGCGGTACTCTAGAACTCGAGGGCGTAGTGTCCATGGGAGTGAAAGGATCTGCTTGCTTGAACAATTAGCGGGCTTTGGGACAAAGATGACTCTTAGACGTACGTTTCCAAGGAGGAATCATGAACCTCATGTTGCCTGACTTGATGGTTATATTCGGACTTGGAACCGAATCGAGATGTTCATACTTGGGAATCGAGTCACGATCCATCGAAGAGTACCGAGAATGCGAGATGTTGCTCAGTGTCTCCTGGTAGGCATTGTTACCCCTGAGACTAGGGAGAGACAACTCCGAAGAGGGGGCGCGCTGGTATGGTGGCGGATCAATGGGCCCAGAGTATGGATTCGCATCTCGAACGCTGCTCTTCTCAAAAGTAGGCATGGCGGTTGTATACCACAGATAATGGGACCGGAAGTTTGGTGTCGGGAGGGCTCTTCCGGGGGACGATCTCACACAGAACGATATTGATCTGATATGGAGCCTGGTGTCTCGGGGTGTCGAAAGGAATCCAACCGTGTTTTGAGGACAAGATGAGGACCAAGATTAGGAGGTACGAGAAGTATAAGGAGACCTTGGTAACAGCAGAGAAGACAACCAGGAGTACCAGGACCATATAGGATAGAGATAAAGCCGAGGATAAAGGATGCAGTGAAGGATGATGCGGTGTTAAGAATACCGAGACATTTGTTAGGTCAATTATCTCTAGGGAGTGGAGCGGAGATGGAGAAAAGAAGAAATGCCAAGAAGAGGAGCAGGCCAAAGGGACGACTTTCATGAAAGAGTCCATTGTGAATGAGCCCCCAAGTACGGAAAGACCGGTGTTGTGATGGTGTACTTTAGGGAAGGAGCGAGGCTCGTCGGATGTTTTATTCCGTGTGCTGCCAGTTTCGAGGGACTGACGAGAAACGCAGGAGCACCCGTAAAACCTAGAAGTATGCCAGTGATAATGTCGGATACTAGTCGGTCGTGATTCGGAAGGAAGACTCACCAGGCTTTGGTCACAGTGAGACACTGCAAGTTCGAGTGAAAGAGCCCTACACATCCACCGCAACTCCGAGTTCTCATATTTACCTGTAAACCCGAATGGTGGTATCTTAAATCCCTTTCACATATTTTGAATGCCTTTACCCTAAAACGCCACAGAATATTGCTCGCATATGAGCACTCCACCCAATGCCAACTTGCAAACAACGCAGTAATATGTCCTTTCCCAGTGATCCATTTTCCAGCCTAGCTCCCAACGTACCATTACCACTTCCTGATATGCCCGCAGCCATGCTCTTCCGCCACTCAAAGAAGCTCGAAATCGTCCAACTTGTCGCGGTACTTCATAATGTTCTGCTTGATCTTGCTGCCGACAGACCAAGTAACGAAGTCCTCCATACTCCTCGTCACCAGGAAAGCAGGATCACGGACCTCTTCAACACCCACACGGACATGACCCTGCTCAATCATCTTGGTCGCTGCTTGCACGGTCTCGGCCATACGAAGTCTGGTCATGACGACGGGCAGTCGCCTCCTGGCAAAGGCCGAGACTGTGACTTGGTGCTCCACCTGTGACAGCTTCGACTTGGACTGTTATCGGACGTTAATAACTGCTCGAGTTGAACTTCGATACCGGAAGACATACCGAAAGAATTCCCATGTCGTAAAGCTTGTCGAGCAAAAGCTCCTCGTGCTTTCGCCTCACCTCGTTGTCTGGGGGAAGCAAACTGAGACGATGGGCGAGTTGGCGGAGGGACTGTGGCATATCATGTCAGTATGTCATGAACAGTTTCATATAGGTAAGGTTAGTTGATGAAACTTACACCGCACATCCTGTTGTACTTGTGCTAGAAGGGGGTCAGTCATGGTCATTATGAAAAGTCACTGTGAGCCTCATCCTTGATTGGATTAACATACATAGTCCTCGGGCTTCTGAATCATGTATCGTCTGTGTGACTGTTAGCAAGATGTTCTCACACAAAAACCACTTAAGGCGAATGAGCGTACCTGGCGACATCGTGATCTCTGTGCTTGTTGTCCGACTTGTAGTTGATGAAGTCGGTCTTCCGAAGAAGCTTCTGTTCCGCGTGCTTGAGCTTGCGGACCATGTTGGCAATTCGTTGTCTTTCTCACTGATGGTGTGTTGTTCTAGTTGGTTAAGGAGTGTGCCGTTGTGGAAAGATCTCAAAGACGTGGTATCAGTCGGACGGGTGTGGAGGCGATGGATGATTCAGTATCGTAATCTGATAGCAGCAGCAGCTGCAGTACAAGTGGTGGTGGTGTTCTGGCGTTGAACTTTTGCTGCAATGAAAACTCTTGCCCCACACTTTGTCGCCTGCCGGGCCCCTTGCTCAGCGCACTCTTAGCCCGCAGAGAGCCCCATTTTACCCCATAAAATAAATGGGGACGCTTCAGGCTTCCAGCAATCAGCTCCCGCCCTGCCAGCTGTCAGCCGCAACAGCGCCCCGGTCCGCGGCAGGCCCCGGCACTGCGCCGAAAAGAGATTGATCCGCCAAAAAGTGTCGCTGCCGGCCCGGAGCTCCAATTTCCAATTGCCCGCACCGACCGTGCCCGCCGCCGCATCTCCCCGTCGCGACTGAACCCCCGATCCCCGATTCCCGACTCCGACCGATCGCGAAACGGGAGCTCCATTCTTGTGTGTGTGTGTGCGGTTTCCCCGAGAGGACTTACACATCGCCAAAGCCCAGCTGTTACAAGCTGTTGTAACCATTACAACAACGACCACCACCACCACCATGTCGTCCTCTCGTCAATTCCTCTCCTCTGCGCTCAGGCAGTGCCGCGCTGCCGGCCAGAGGACCGCCCAGTTCTCGACCACCTCGCCGGCCGCTGCCAGTATGTTCGCTCCGTCGATCGCAAACACGATATGCCGCCCTCCACAACTCTATAAGCATAACACATAAGCTAACAACACCTTCAATCACCAAACAGTCCGCGACATCCCCACCACTTCCTTCCAAAATGCCCCGCGCACCAACACCAACACCTCGTCGCCGTCGAGCAACAACAACAACAACAACGCCGGCTCGAACCAGTACAAGTCGGACATGTTCAACCTCCTAAACAGCGGCGCCGGCAGCCGGGGAGGAAGAGACAGCTACAACAACGGACGCGACGTCGACGGAGGACAGCGCTATGGCAACAACAGCCAGAAGGTGCAGGAGCTGCTCCAGTCCGAGGTGACCTCCAACAACTACATGCGCATGATGAAGCGCCGGTGGAACAACGGCGATGTGTATGCGCCGCGCGACCTGTCACCGTACGAGATGAAGGGCAGGAACGGGGGATGGGTGGAGGCGGCGGATGTGGTTGATGAGCTTGGGTTTAGTCCGTTGGATAACTATCGTGTATGTTTTCTTTTACTTCTTGTCACTCCCTCCCCCCTCTTTCGCTTGTTCCTGTTCCTTCATACACCCACCCCTCTTCCCAATTCCATTCATTGTCTTGAAAACTGGCCAGGCGAATGCTAATATCCTTGGGACAACAGAACTTCTCCCTCATCTCCGACTACATCACCCCCTTTGGGCGGATAAGGCACTCCAAGGAAACCGGCCTGAAACCCGTCAACCAGCGCAAGATCGCCAAGATGGTGCGGCGCGCCATCGGCCTCGGTATCCACCCCTCTGTGCACAAGCACCCCGAAATCCTCAAGAACAGCAACGGCAGGCACTTGTTGCCGCTTGTTGTGCCCAAGGGCCAGAAGGCGAACAAGACCAAGAACTTTGATGGAGAGGATGAGAACTAGAATGGTCTGGAAGGTCTGGGATTGGGCGGATGAGGGGGGGAAATTATGGGGGAAATTTGCATGACTGGGCGGTTACGGGCGTGAGGTCGCTGTCTGGCTAGCAAGCATGGCTAGTAGCACGGTATGGGCTGGATGGATCGTTGATCGGTGGACTCTATTACGGTTATCATAGAGTTGGTGTATTATTACTGTATACACGGCACATAAAAGGGTATTTTACAAAGTTTGGGCTTAGATGATGGTAGTCATCAAAGGGTGATTGTGGAGGAATGCGGATAGTGAGCATCAGAGACGGAGTGACTGATCACTTCCTGTAAGCTACTTCATGATCTACTGTACAGACACTGGCGGAGAAACGAACAAAAAGACTAAACCTAGACCAAAACCGGTTCCTATATCCACCTTCTAGTTTTTGTCTAAAGGTGCTAAATGTACTGTACAACCCAAAGATAAACCATCCTCCTGCCCACCCGCTCAGAAGCTCAAAAAGCCACATAACCATCATACAACCATGCAATCCCCCCTCTAACTGTAAATCATGATTCTCTGTACAAGTCCTGTTTTTCCTTTCTTTTCACTTACTGTCGATATCTTATGTAATATGACCCTCGGGTTGAGGTCAAGCCTCAAACAGCCTGGTAATGTTGAACACAGGTCCCTGAAATTCGGTATCTTTCTGCCCCTTGCTCTCCAATCTCGCCCACTCCTCCGGGTACTCCTCCTTTGCCCAGGCCGCGAACTCGTCTTTGGACACGGGGTCGGGAAGGGCGTTATAGGTTAGTCCAAGCCTGTTTGATTCAGTTATTGTCAGCATTTTCGACAGCGTCTTGCAGGAGTTTTCCAACAATAACAAAAATGGGAGACTCACGTCATCATACTAGCCCCATACCCCAAGCTCGCATCAGTCCCCTTGATCAGCTTAAACACCTCGTCCATCTTTCTCCCCCACGCCGCGTTACTCCTTGCGATAGCCGCGCAATACGCATTGAAAACGTACTGCGGCACCTCCAGATCCATCCGCAACATCTTCTGCCACACCGGCCTAGCATACCGATCGCCTAGCGGGATCAGCTCGCAGCACCAAAACACAATAGCCAAGCTGTTGTACGACGGGCCCTCGGCCGAGCGGGTGATGTGTTCCTCCCAGAAATCCAGCGCAGTAAAGGGGTCTCCGCCGGCCGCGTACGCCAACATCAGGGCGTTGTACAGCCTTGTGCTCATCTCCACGCGCGTGTCCATCTTGAGCATGTTGTGCACCATCTTCAGGGAGCTGGCTGGGTCGCTGGGCCGCTGCTCGGGGATCGGGCACCGACCCAAACCCTCGAGACAGCGCACGTAGATGTCGGCGGTGGGGTGCATGTTGTCGTCGTCGTGGGCGCGCATGTGGCCGAACACGAGGCACGCCATGTCGGGCTTCTTGCGCTCGAAGAAGGATTCCATGAGCCGGACGCGGTCGTCGACCGACGTCTCGGGGAAGTATTGCCGCAGCAGCGAGTAGGCGTCCCAGGCGCGGTCGGTCGTGGTTTGGGGGGAGCAGATGTAGTCGACAAAGGCCTTGTAGATCTGCTGCCGCTCGATGTGGCTGATGGAGACGGAGTGCAGCGACAAGGTGTCGATTACATCGAACTTCTTGTCGTGGTTGAGGAAGACAAGGCAAAGCGCAACGATGGTTTCCGGCTCCAAGACGGCGTGGCGCTGCTCGAGCGCCGAAGTGATGGTTAGGATGTGCTGGATATTGGGTTCCTGCTGTGCACACAAGACGCGGAGGTATTTGTTCATTACGGGCAGGTCTTCGTCGAATTCGACCTCGACGGCTCCCGATGCGAGCTTCGAGAAGATTTGATGAGCCCCTTCGATATCGTTGGCGTCGAGTCGGTATGACATTTGGTTAAGGTAGGTGTGAACGTTGGCTTTGATGTTGAAGTCCTGGGCCAGCTGCCAAAACCTCTCAGCCATGTACGGATTCCGCTTTTCCTGGGCGGCTTGCATAAGCAGGTTGATGGTGGTGGCATCGACCTTGACCTCATGGCTTTTGTAAAATTCGCCGCTGGCCATGGTCTGGAGGTATGTCTTGATGCCGTCTGGCCCCTTATCCAGAGCTAAGACGGACCATTGTAGGAAGGCGTCCAATGACCCTTTCTTCGCAAACGTATCTTGGACCACCTGCTCAAAAACTGGCAAAAGCCATTCATTCCACTTCTGGCTTGATCGCCGTGATGATCGCACCAGTTCCAGCAATGTCTCTCCCGTAGGAGAGAAACCGCTGTGTATTGGCTTGTTGTACCACTGCTTTGTTTCCTCGATCTTGTCCTGCCTCGCATAGTACGTAACGAAGACCTGGTGCACGCCCGGGATGTATTTGATGCCTCCCGTCTCTTGTGCCTCCTCCCAAAACTGTAGTAGTTCCTCTTCCCGACCCTCGTTCGCCAGGCCCTCCAACACCATAATCCAGATTCTCCCCGCGCCTCTGAAGTTAACAGCGCTCCTTTCATCCTTCATTTGTTGCCAAAACTCTTTCACTCGACCTGCTGCTTCCAGGGAGCCTCCGTATTGCGTCAATGCCTTGATGTATCTCGCGAAGTCATCTTTGGTCAAATGCACTTTGCGCTCCTCGGGATTCAACAAGATGAGCCTCCTGCGCATAATCTCCTCGTGCAGCAACCGGGCTAGCGCAAGGTGGAATTCGGGAGAGCCCTTGGGAGGCAGCAATGCAACGTCCATAGCATTTTCGAGGTCGCTCATTTTAAGGTCAACGGGAGCGTCAGCCTCGGGCTTGGTTACCAAGAGATAGTGTAGCACCGTTCTCAAGAGGAAAGCCTGATTGGGATTCAGTGGTCTATTGGTGTCGGCCTTGAATTTTGTTAGCTTCTTGAATGCCGTCACCAGCTGGTCCCGTGGAGGTGGGCGCTCCTGTTCCACCTCGCTCTTCCTGTACTGGAGAAGCACATTGTAGCCTGGGTCAAATTGGGGAAGCTTCACGAATCGTTCGGGCTTCGGTGTGAAGAGGCTGATAAACGTCCGCTTGGAGGTTCGGGTACATAGGGTAACGCCGCGTGGAATGTGCGCGACGTCGTGTTGGCAGTCGAAAAGGCAGCGGCGGGCAGAGAGGGCTGTTGCAGAGCATGGGCGCAATAAGCCATGATGATGACCGGCGGCGTGAAGTCGTCTGTACACATTCGGTGTCGTCGTCGCGTTGCGTGCCAGATGCGACCGCATGGTTGGGAAAGGGATCCTAGTAGAGCACAGTCCTGGGTTCATGACTCGAGTAAGTTGAGGGGTTCCCGTGCTCCATCTCCCTCGCCAGCGTCTCCATCGTTCTCCAGTTCTCCATGGAGTCGCTTCTCGAGTCGGGGTTCGAAGAGGGTACGTACTACTGGTGCATGGTGGTGGAAGATGACACCCCGATTGTCGTTGTCGCAAACACAGACGCAAGCACAAGCGACCGAGGCGACCTTGGGATCTTCTGGTGGCAGGAACGGGCTCCTTTTCGATTTCAGGGTGTTTTCTCTTTTCTATTGAAATCTCCAAATTCCTGTTGACCGGGGCAGCTTCCAGCACAAGTGTTGCGAACATCGGGTGGTTGGCCCAAGCTCCACTACCCCATGCCAGCCAGGTACAGTTACCGTTGCAGTGCATCCACAGCGACCCCTCATCCCATGCTGTCATTATCCGAGGAGTTCAGGGTTAGGGACAAGGCGCGCTTCTCCAATTCCATTCTCAAAACAGCATCACTTCCATCGGTGTCATTCATCCACCAACTAATCACATGAAAAACATAACCGTAACCACCACAACCCAACGTAAAAGGATATACAAATATCCACGTGAGATTGGAAATATATAATTGAACATCAGATATCTCAATCAATTCCACCACAATCGACCAACCACAGTACGATCAGAACACAACCCATAATGCCACCCCAACAACCACCCCCACCAACCATCCTCTCCCTAAAATCCGACTTCCTCAACACCCAAACGCGCACCCTCTCCCAACCCTTGGCTCCAACGCGCACCTTCACTTCTCAAAACAACGGCATCTCCTCCCCCCACTCTCAACTCCAACAACACCAAAGCATCCCTCAAAAACCGCTCTCCGAAGCCATCCAGAAACTCAACCACCGCCTCACCCAACACAACCGACGCGCCTACCCTCCTCAAGCAACACGACACGTAGCTGAACAAATCGACAAACTTTATTTTACTTCAACTTCCACTTCCGCATCCTTGGGGAAAGCAAACGAAGGGGATGGAGAAGACGAAGATGATGAGGACGAAGATGGACAGGCTTGGTTGCGAGTAAACGCCGACTTGACTGTTCCTCGCTTAATCACCTCCATACCCGACTCCTGGTCCTCTGTCTCGGAAAAGGAAGTAGACGATCACCCCATGGAAGCCAAGCGGTTTGCCGAGTTGGTGGCGCAGTTGAAGGAGTTGGACCAGCAGAAACGGAAGGTGTTGGAACGGGTGGCCAAATTACGAAAAATTAAGGGGTTGGTTGAGGGGTTTGCAGCTTCCCCTGCTCAAGACCTGAATGCCGAAGGAGAACAAGTAAGGGAGGGAGCAGAAGGGGAAGGGGGAGGAGGAGGAGGAGGAGGAGGAGGAGGAATGAAAGCGGTACAAGAGAATCTGGTGACTAAGAATGGGGAGATGGAGGCTGAGTTGCAGAGGATGAGGGTTCTGCTGGCTAGAGTGGGGGGAAGGGTTGAAAAGTTGGATAAGGAGAGGGGGAAGGAGAAGGAAAGAGGGAGTGGGAGTGGGAGTGGGAGGAGGAAGAGGGCGAGGGAAGGGGAGGAGGGAGAGGGGGCAGGTGATGAGAGGAAGAAGTTGGATAAGTTGCTGGACAGCTTTTGATATATTTTGTCACGGCCTGGATGGGGAAGATGATGGGAGGTAGAATTGTGCATTTCTCGAGGCGTTAAGGACCGGGCCTCGGTTGGAAATCGGGCGGGGAGTGTGTGGAAGGTAAAGAACAACCAGGGACTGATTTTGGTTGGTTACTCATGATACCCTGAAAAATATCACGGAGCAAACACACGAGGCCTTGGACAGTAATTCGACCCATGAAGATGTGCAACGACTGTTCGGCTTATATCGATACTTCATAAAATCATAATATTACAAATCTTTATGCAGGACGCTCAAACTCAGCGCTCAAAGACCAGGTTGGCATAAACATACACTTGTATCCCAAGGGTCGATACAAAATTATCTGAACCACCCAACCCAACGGCGGAGACCACTCGCTCATGAACCCAACGCCGGAGGGGGGGGAACCTCGTCATTGCCGCTGTCCTCCGGCGACTCCTCGGCAACCTGGCCCTGGATACGGCGCTTGGCGTTGGCCTTGTCCTCGGCCGTGATATCGCCCTCGTCCTTGCGCATATCAGGAGTCCACTGTGGCTCATCAGGCGCGTGACCGACGGACATGCCGACGCGGATCTGTTCGTTACTGTTAGTCAACGACCACTATACAAGTCACTTGATCGGTCAGACTTACCAAAGTCTCCAAAGGCAGAAGCGAATTCTGCACCAGATCCTCATCCCACACCATCCTGCCCGGCTCAAAGAGCACAACAATCGTGCTACCACCAAACTTGAAGTATCCGAGCTCTTCACCCCTCTTCACCTCGTCGCCCTCATTCCTCGTAATGACGGTACTACCGACCATCATGGCGCCAACGCAAACAACCATGACGCGGCCAAACACGGGGCTGTCAATCGGCACCAGCACTCTCACGTTCTCGCCGTACACATCCAGCGCCGACCGAATGGCCATTGGGTTGACAGTATAGTACTCTCCTTCGATCGTCTTGGGCTGGCGCATAACACCGTCAACGGGGATATGGAAGCGGTGGTAATCCTGTGGCGCAAGGCGGAAGATGCCGAGCGCACCTCCCTCGTACCGCGCAACATCTTCAGGGTAAGCGTCACCAAGCAGGCGCTTGACAGTGAATTCGCGACCCTTGATCCAAACGTTGGTGGCCGTGTCGATGCTGTTGAAGACAACGCAGCGGCAGTCGGCGGGAGAAACGACGATGCGAGGGTTTTCAGGAGCCGAACAGGGGCGCGCACCGGGCTTGAGGGCGCGGTAGAAGAACTCGTTGAAGTTCTTGAATTCCTCCAGAGGCTGTGCAACTTCGGACAGATCAAGACCGTGGAACTGGATGAACTTGGGGATCTCAGCCTTGGAGTTCGGGTCGTCGTACTTCTTGCCCTGCTTGACACTAAGGCTCTTGAGAAGCTTGCGGATGCGCTTCGTCTCCATGTTGTTGGACTTGAGACCCTTGTACAGCAAGCGGATGCCAAGTCGGACGTAGACGCTCATCTTCTCCTCGTTGATCTGTCCGGTAATACGGTCCTGGACAAGAATGTTGGCCGAGTTGGCTCCAACCTTGTAACCGCCATACGAGATCTTGGTGATGACCTTGGAATACCACTTGCGCTGGGCTTGGCTGGAAGTAACGAAGCCACCCATCACAAGATTGTCGACTTGGCGCCAATCCTGGCTGGCGCAAGTTGCAATGTGGGTAATGATGTCGGCATCCTTCCGCTTGTTCAGGCGAGGTTGGTGGCAAATAGGGCACTCCTTGATCTCCACAACGTGTTCCTCGCCGCTAGATGAAAGGTTCAAGTCATCACGGTCGAGCAGGTCTCCTTCTTCACCCGAGGTGCCAAGATCTGGTACGTTGAGGGTTGAATCGGTAAGTTGCGAACCGCTGGCCGGAGTCTCCGCGTCCTCTTGATCACTAGTGGTACCAGAGTCCTTGCCGTGACCAGGAAGGAGGTTCTTTACGTTATCCTTGACCTTGTCGACCATTCCCTGCACGGTCGAGCGCGACTTGGCCTCTAGCTGATCCTCTAAGCAAATGACGGCCTCGTCCATGGTCAAATCATCCGAGTCGTCCCCTTCCATCCTATGGGGGAATCGCTGGAAAAAGCTATCGATGGTAGACTCGCGCAGTGTGGAACCGAGGGTGTCCAGCATGGTTGTCAGCTCGACCTTGCTGATGCGCCCGCTCTCATCCGCGTCGTACTGCTTCAAGAGTGCCCTCCAGAACTGCTGTCTCAGCGCAGGGTACGGCATGTACTTGATGCGAAGATAGAGTTGAGGGCTGTGCTTGGACTCCCACTTCTCAAGGTTCTTCATCTTGAGAGGAAGAGTCAAGAAAGTGAAGTTGTCGTCGTCCCCTTCGGACTGGGACGCAATCTCGCCCCCCATAGCAGCCGCACCCGCCGCCGCCATGGGATTCTCCCCAGGTGACAGCAGGGCCGGGCTAGGCGGGGGAAGGGCATTCCGGCCATATTCCTGAGCACTGTCGACAGCGATCTGAAGAGGGGTCCCAGCTACCGATGGTTCCTTTGCGGCCGTGGAGTTTTGCCTAGAAAGACCAGGCCTGGCGGCTTTGCTCAAGCTTTGAACAGAGGCCGTCCGAGACAGGCCCAATCTCGCGAATCGGCCACCGCTCTTCTGCACTGGAGCGTAGTCTGGGATATCCTTCAGGTGATAGAGACCGGTTTCTGGGTTGGGCTTTGGTGCGTTTTCCATGATTTCCCGGATCGGAAGGTTGACGGAAGCGACAAAGTCGTTGCCAGAATATTTATCATGGTCGATGACGGTAAAGTTGAAGGAGTACATCTGCTCGTAATTCGATATCGTGAAGATCATCTTTTCGTTATACACAGGATTGAGATTGTGCCGGATCGTCTTGGTGCGGAATGTCTGTCTGCCGAGTGAGATGACGACGAAGGGATCCATATCGAAGCTGGTCTTGGTCACGTTGCGCTCGGGAGGCAAATCGGTGATCTTGCCAATCTCCAGATAAACAATACCCAAGGTGTCGCTATCACCATTGGTAAATTCGTATGCGTTCTTGGAGCGCGTGGACGATACTTGCGAGGCGGTATCAAGCACAGGCGCGGACTTGGTGACGGAAATGAACTGGTCGTAGAGCTCTCTGGGAGTGGCTTCGAGATTCGAGTTGTCGACGATGGTCAATTGCAGCTCCACCTCACCTGAGACGACGCTGCTCTTCTTTCCGGTCCTCTTGCTCTTCAGGGGGATCCAGCCTGGCCCAAGGTCGGTGATGCCATCCTCGGCGAAGGCCTCATCAAGAGCGAGCTCGAACTCGCCCAGGTAGTCCTTCCCGAAGCGATCCTTGTCCCAGCAAATACCGGTGAGGGAAAGACTTTGCGCGCTATTGATGGGAAACTGGTAATGTTCATTCCAGATCGGGTCGAGAGTCTTTGGTATCGTGGAGGTCGTATATTTGGCGTCGCCCAGGGTCAATACGAGGTACTAGACGCAGCAGGCAGCCTGTGTCAGCAACCAGCACCAACTGACGATACTTGTGTCGGAAGTTGTAGAGATTGTTGTCGCATAACTTACAGGATCCGATGTGCCTCCTCGATCCTTTGCCGCAAGGTTTCTGGCCTATAGTAGACAAAACAAAAACATCCATCAGTGCTGCTGTTGCGGAAATGGAATGCGATTCGGATGATGCCGGGACCGCGCATCGACATGAACAAACACACCTGTATGATCTTGACATCCAGAACCAAGCCCGTGTCTCTGCGCCCCTCGGGGCTTGCTGAATCGCCCTTGCTTCGCATTGGACTTGTGCTTCTGCTAGTTGCTAAGGAGTTGCTGGATGACTTGAGACGGTTTGGAATAATGCGGACCATGGCGGCGGGAAGGGGGACCTAGCGGGGTCGCCCGGCTGGGTACCTATGGAGCTATATACGGGGATATTGGCAGTGGCGGTGCCGAGTCAGTGACGGCTTGACGGGATCGATCAGCCAAGCAAGGCAGGGCAAGGCAAAAGAGGGGTCCGACAATCGTAGTACTGCGTAAGCGCCAATTTGTCGTAGGGGGAGCGTCGTCAATCGTCAATGGTGCTGTGGCTGCTTCCAAGTTTCTTGTTTTGAAAGTTGCTTGTCCTGCCGGTTGGTCCTCCTTGGGTAGTGCCGCTCTGTAATGGATGGGCCCTGGTGGTGGTGGTGTCGTGCAGGCCTGTGTGTTTGATGTGCAAGGGGCGGGATTGTTTAGAAAGAGGAATGGCGTGGGGAAGAATAGGCTCGCTCCTCTGACTTATTCGAGGCTCAATGTCTGGCAAGATTAAAAGGGTGGTGGTGGTAGTAGTATCGTGTCTCGTCAATGACCAAAACATAAAAGGGGTTGTTATGATTTTGGGAATAATGTCGTCGAGTTACACTCCGCGTTCATGCGTCAAGAGTACTGTAAGTGTCTAGCGTGCATTCAAGATCGATGGGAGAGTGGAATTTGGACTCTCAGACTGTGTTGAGACGAACTGGGCGGTAGCCATTCGAGTCTCGACAGCGGTAGAGACGGTCGGGTGTATCAGGGTCAGACCGAGCTGGAGGACAGAGACGTCATTCGGGCTGGGATAGCTGGTTTACACTACACTGTGTGTGTGTGTAGACAAATGCGATGGAAATTCCCGAGTGGAGTGGGGATCCCGGGCAACCAGGAAGTGGGTGACAAAATGGAAGTCGTGGAAGCTGAGATCGGCGGGGGCTTGGAGTCTTGGAACTGACTTTCTGTGCTTCTCTCCGTCGCGTGTAGTGTATGTATCAAGGCTGTGAGTGGAGGCTGATATTTGGTTGAAGAGGAAACAACTGAACGAAGAGAAAAGAACTGAAGAGGGTCGCGTGATGCTCCAACCTGACGGAAGAGGACAGTTTCAACTTTTTGAATCCGCCAAGGAGTCTCGTCCACCGCCTACCCACCGATTGCCCCGGGGGATCTCCGGCCGGATGCTCGGGCCCGCGGATGATTTAGTTTGTTTAGTGTATCTTGACAAGGCCAAATCTGCAGGGGCGCATCCCGTCTTTCAAAGGTGTCAAAAGAAAAGAAAAAAAAAAACACAAATCGCGATTCGCGAAAAAAAAAAAAAAAAAAAAAAAGGGGAAGTTGGGCGTTTGTCCAATGTACAATAAGGTAGCCAAGGTATCCATGCGGTAGTTGCATAACCCAGAGTTACATCACGCGTACATCACGATACATCAACATCTGTCTTGTGTATGCAGGTGTAACAAGACGACACAACAGCAGAAGATTAACCGCCAAAGCTACTCGAACTTGAACCACTCTCTGGACCTCCTTGACTACGCCGTTGACCTTGAACAAAAACAAGCGGTGGGCCGTCATTCAAACGAGCCTATGGGAGGAGCTGAATGGTGTCATAAACACGAGATGGGCTGAAAGAGATATAGAACATGACCCCCAAATGTAATGTCCCGTTGATTCCAATAAACTGCGCATTTGCATTTGATACCAATCAGTTCTCAACCTAACCGCGTCCTTGCCGCACACGCTTGTGCCTTCGTCAAGGTCACCTCACCTCTCCGAGCACCTCTTGCGCGAATCGAAGATGCTTTCCGGGGAACGGATGGAACACTGCCAAACTGTTGCCTAAGTCTAGTGGCTTTGTTACCTGCATGAACTATAACTCCCAGACTCTTGACTGAAGTCGAACGTTTCCTCCAGCTTAAGGGGGTTCTGTTCTCGGACTTTTGCTGACATTGTTTGACCCTTCCGATACTCTACAAGTGAAAGCAAAGCCAAAAAGAAAAGAAAAGAAAAAAAAGAGGGAACGGGAATAGGGTCACCTAAAGATGCACCGTGCAGGCCAAGCTTTTTCGGCTTTCCAGCGGACAGAGACGGGAGCCAACTTAGCCGAGCCAAGCAGGGCTGCCGCTTCCGCCGCTCTAAGGGTCTTGCTTGGGGTCCGCCGCGATGCCGCCGTTGTGGGTCCTATCCTTATAGACGGGTGACGGGCAAGACGGGATCACAGGCCGTCGGTCATTCGTCTTCATTTCCCCGCCTTTCAAGGTTACTGTAAACATCTCTTTCGAGACTGAGTCTCCATCACGATGATCCATGCCGACTTGATGATGCCACTGCAATGTTACACGACACCAGACCCCTTCTGCCTTCAACAACCTAACACAAGCCACATTCATCATACCTCTAGCCAACACAACTCAATCAAGGCTTACTTCTCACTTGGCATCTCTAAAGTGAATGTCCCTATAGCAGACAATATCCGACCAACAACCAAACGTATCGTCAAACGCCGTGACAAAAATCCGTTGCACCTCGGTCATCGAATGAAGGATTCCTCCCATAGGCCACGTCGGGACCACTCAAAGTCCGGCTATCACCTACCAGTTTAAGGCTGAGATCTTCATCGAATTGCATCAGTCCCCTTGGCCCCCCCTTCCCCCTCTGCCCCCTCTGCCCCCTTTTCTACTACATACGCTAGTGTAGTGTAAGAGTGCGACATCCCTTTCCGATGGATGTGCGACTTTCATGTCCGACTGTTCGACCCATCCAACTATCCAACTGAACCACCCGTAACCGTTTTCTCTTATCTTCAAGTTGCACACGTCTATCACTGTTCAGCCTCAATAGGCCCGCGTCTGAACTTGAAACTTGGATCATTTCTCCAAGGTTATGGTATCGGAAACACTGCGAAGAGATACGACATGCTGCTTTCATTCACCCAGCTGTATACTGCATTGGCACACATCTTCCTCGATATAAGTCCAGAAAGCATTCGATCGACTCGACCTCATTGCCATGAGAACCAATGCTCCTCTGCCTAGCATTTATACCCGCATGTCAGCATCACTACCAAGGTCACAGATTTCTCTTGTTTCTCCTTAAATTCTCCCCAACAACCATTATTCCACCGCTTCGTCATTCGTCTTGTTGCGCCCCCGCCTGTCCTTTTTTTGTGAATTAGATATCTTTCATGTTCGTCATCATCGCCTCACCCAAAAAATTCGCTTAAGCAGAAACCTTGGCCTTGTACTTTGTCGCCGCCTTGTCAAAGAGGTCGCTCTTCTCGGCCAAATCGGTCAAGAAGGGGTGGTTGGGATCAGCCTGCTCGAGAGCACTGTAAGCAGACATATATGTTAGCACACGTAAGTACCAAAGGAGAGGCGGAGGAAACCAGAGCCATATGTGTAAATCTGTAACGTACGCCTTGTACTCGGCCGAATCTTGTCCAGTAATGACGCTCCAGACGAGCTGGTTCGCAATGGCGTCCGCGAATCCGGGCTCCTTCTTGAGCGCCTGGTCCAGGGCAGCCTGGGCCTCCTCTGTGCGGCCGAGATGAATCTCAGCAACGGCCTGCGAGACGAGACTCCGTACGGAGGAGGTAGCGGGTGCTTGTGCGAGCTCTTCAAAGACGTAAAATGCTTGCTGGTACTTGTCGCCGCCCTGTTAAGTGGTAGTAGACACAAAAGTTAATAGTTAGTAAACTGCTTGATCCAACCGCACAAAAGTGTTTCGCCGCAAAGGAAAAAGGGGTGGGGAAACTAACCAGTCTCAACCCAACCCACGACTCAGCCAAATTAAACAACAAGCTATCTTGCGCCAGCCTCCGCGCGCTGGCCACCTCCTTAACCGCCAATTCCGTCCTGTTCTGCGCCAGGTAGATGTGCACAATCAGCGCGACAGCCTCCAGGTTGCCCTGGTGCCTCTGCAGCAGCGCCAGCGCCTCGTCGGCTTTACCCGCCGCCGCCAGCACCGTCCCGCCCACGACCTGGACAATACCAATTTCACCCGCGTCCATGGCCGCCAGCTGCTCGATCGTCTCCACGGCCGACTCGGCGTCACCCGCTTTCAGCTGCGCCAACGCACCCACCGCCTCGAGCTCCGGCTTCTTCTCGCCCGCAACTTCGGCGAGCACGTCCTCGGCTTGGCCGAGCGCGATGCGCGCGCGCAGCTGGAGAACGCGCGCGGGGAGGGCGTTCTCGGCCGAGAAGGAGGTGGTGTCAAAGTCGATGACTTCTTGGTATTGGCCTTGGTAGAAGTGGCTCTCGATGTTGATTAGTTCGGCCTCGGCTCCAAAGGGGTCGGACATTTTGATTATCGGTTTGGAGGGGGGTTCCGGATTAGAATGGTGGTGGTCGTCGTGCTTATCGATGAGCGAGGATTATGTTGGCGTCAAGGACCGGCCTGGTGTTCGTAGAGGTCGGGTATTATGGGATGCTGCCGAGGGACTGATCTCGTAAGGTGCTGATTGTTATATACCTGGTAGGGACTGGTGTCTGTTGTTGATTGTTTAAATGATGGACAGTTCAGTATAGCTTCAGTGGTTGATAGGGGATAAGCCAGTAGTGGACAGCCAAACACGAGTACAAGGTGCCTTACCTCGACGTGGAGCTGTCCGGTGGAGCCGGAACATGCCGCGTGGAGGGGATGTGGGGATTGCTTAAAGTGCGCACGTTCGTCTAGAAAGATTCTGCCGGACACAATTTTGGCGGTGAGAAAACGGCGTGCCAAACTTTGGCTGCATCTCTTCGTTCAGTTTTTCTTTCTTCTCTTTTCTTTCTCTTTTTCTTCAATTTGCGCGACCTCCACAATCCGGTTGTCGCCTCATTCAAAAATCCATTCCGAACCACCGCCAACATGGCCCAAGGCTCGGGCAGCAAAATCACCAAGCCCAACCCTGGACTGAATCGGTCCAAGGGCGGCAAGGCTCCCAAGAAGTCGGGTGTCACCAAGGTCAAGAAGAACAAGACCAAGGCCGACAAGGTCCAGAAGAAGTTCACTGCCGGCATGGCCGCCAAGACCGAGAAAATGTTGGGAGCCAGGGCTGGTCACTTGGAGCTGATCGGCAAGGGCAAGAAGGAGGAGAACAAGGAGAAATTCAAGGGTGGAACCAGAAAGTTCGGCTAAACGACTGTCTGCGCGAGAACGCCTGGTACGGGGACAACGGCAACGGTTCAGACGGAATTTGTGCCACCTGATGGATGTTGCGCGGCAATGTTGGGTATCTCGCGGGAATGGTGGATGAAGAGAGGATGCCGCGGTGGACGTGGCGGCACGCGGGAACAACGAATGAGATGGGAGGAAGCAGCGACTGAAGGGGGTTTTGGTCACGACGAACGACAAACTTCACATCTTTCACTGGAATCTACGGCCTCTAAATCTCACGGACAACACTCGGAACTTAATTTTTTTTTTTTTTTTTTGGCAACACTAGCAAAGCAAGCACTTGTGTGGAGAATTTCACACGACATACGATACCCCGTCTCTGGAATACAACACCATTTCTCGCTGTTGAAAAACTGCCTGAGGTCGACGTTGCACCATCTAGATGTGTTCCGGGATTATGGGCAGTGTGACATAGTTGTCAAAGCCTTCTCCGAAATGGATATGATTCTGGCCAGCAAATTTCGAAGCGGGTCTTGAGCAGAATCAGTACGCTGCGTTCAAACACGGAATGTGACCGTTGAAACGGAACTCACCTGTCTGTATCGGAGTTATGCTGGAAGATCCCAGCTCCTTGCGTGTCACCACTGGAAACCTCGAGCAAAATCCTACCACCTACGCCCACCACTACGTTGGTTGGCCAGAGCTCAACGTCAACGCCGTACACCTCTCCAGCCTTCACGGGGAGAACATCGGTCGAGAAGTACTCTCTAAAAGGGAGCCATGGCTTGTGCTTGGGATTTTCCTCGTGGACCTTTCGGTTGCTCACTCGGAGCCAGCCTTTGCAGACAGGGACGGGGTCACCCGCCGTTCCGGTGTAGAACACTTCGTTCCCCGAACGGTCGATATGGCGAATGGTCAGGAAGAGGTCAATGTCTGCCTCGTTCTGCGTGTTCTCAGGCGTCACCGAGACATTCAAGTGTGCCACGATATGGCCGGTTATCTCGGTCTCTTTCTCGAAGGGTGCTGTGACGAACTGGACCAACTCAGGCTTGTCCAGGCTCCCGAGAGCTTTGTATCCGATTTGCTCTGGCTTAGTTGGGTCTGGCTTGTTCCGGGAGAGGGCGTGATCGGACCCAAGGTAGAAGTCTGTATACTCTGTCGAATAAAGCGGCCATTGGCCCTCACTCCGTTTCTCGTACGCTTTCTCTTTCTTTGCATCGTTGAACCCAATATTACCTTTGCGCAGCGTTACCTCGATCGGAGAGACTTTATTAGGGACACTCCAGCCGACCTTATCTTCTCCCTTGAGAAAGGCATCAAGGAAGCTCTTTTGAAGTTCAACCTGCTCCTTGTAGTAGAACGGAAGATCGTGTCGACCAGTGATGAAACGCAGATACTTGAATCTCGACCCGGCGTACGTATAACCCAGCACGTTACCGCGCAGATGGAGCGTGATACCGCCCCAGTTCGCCACGCTCAGCACAGGAACCTCGATGTCCTCAAGTCGATACTCCTTACTGGCATAATAGTCTTCGTCGCGGAACCGATGCGCCTCGTTGTCTTTGGTCTGATCGTTCCTGTTTGATACCAACTGTTCCTCGGATAGGTCACCTTCGATCGTGTCTTCTTGTCCCCTGGCGCCGGGTCCGTCTGGTGGGAACTTCAGTTTGGAGCGGCCGGGCAGACCATACTGATTAACCAGCACCTGCCGGTTCCACCAAATATCAATGAAGTTGTTGGAAAGAATTCCGCCATGTCGACACCGATCACGGTAGTAGTCAGACATGCCTTCCCAAGAGATGATGGCCGCTAAGCCTTTTGGTCGACGAGCAGCGACTCGCCATTGCGAACCTGTTGTCATTTGTCAACAACCATTCTTTTTCTTCTGCTAGATTTCATATAACTCAACTCACCAGCATAATAAGAAACCCCCAACAACCCCACCTTCCCATTCGACCACTCCTGATCCGCGCACCATTCAATCACTTGACAAAAAGCATCACTCGTATCCTTACTCATCGTATCCAGCAGCCCCGGGCTCTGTCCCGTCCCGCGCTCGTCCGCCCGCACCACCGCATACCCTTGCTTGCACCAGTACACCGGATCGGGCGTCTCCCAGGCGGAGAACTCGGACCGCTGCTCGGCGTTGACCTCGGCGAAGGAGCCCGGGTGGAATGAAGAGTAGGGGATGTCCTTCCCGTATGGGCCGTAGGTTACTATGACTGGGTATTTCTTGGATTGGACCTCGGGTTGGGGTTCGTTGACATCGAGGCCGGGCGAGGAGGTACATGACTTTGGGAGGTAGATGTTGGCGCGGATGGGAAACGGGGAGGATTTGAGAGGGATGGAGACGTTTTTCATAAAGAGGATTCGCGGGTCGGGGACGGTGGTTTGGATGTCGAGGAGGCGAGGAGGACCGTAGATGGTTCGAGGTTGGGAAGAGTCGCCCATGTTTGGTTTCGGTTTGTTTTGGTTCTGTTCTTATATATTGGTTTAGAGTGAAGCTGGTTGGTGTGTGTGACAGAAGGGAAGCTTGATGGACGAGGTTCGAGCAGACAGGTAGTGAGCCGAGGAGGATATCCGACTCGCTTGTTCTGGTGCTCTGCTGTTCTGTCCTCGTTGGTGTTGAAGCAAGGGTTGAGTCCACGAATCTGGGTCATCGAGCATCATTTGAGGCGGGGTACTAGACATCAACTACATATGCAGCTGCGTTACACGAAGTGCTATAGTACAGAAAGGGAAGCTCCGTTTAAGATTTCACATCAGTTGCATAGCCGGGCTTCAAAGCACATGAGCCACTGTTCTCTCATTTACGTCTTATGACTCTTGATAGACTCTCAATTTGGCTTCAATTAGTTCAAGACAATCAGAGATCTCGGGTTTACGTAGATACAAGCACCAAAAGCATTAACGAATGTGGACTCAACAAGCAGCTAAACTTAGTAGCAACCGTCTTATAGATGGTGCAGTAGTCTCGAAAGGTACCGCCACGGTCATGACGAAGGTGTCGGTGCTTGCCGTCTTGCCTTCTTGCCTTCGGATAAACTTGGACATTCCTCTTGACTTCCCCGAGAAGAGAAGAGCGAACTTCACAGACTCTCTATATTTCATTATGTGTGATTATCCACGTCATTTGTAACTGTCAGTCTCAAGCGGATTGGCCCAAAGTCGTGTTCTGTTACGATCAGAGCGGAGTGTCCAAGGTGCACAAAAAGGCGATAATATCACGATCGGTCGGCGCTACATACAACCCAACACACAAATGTCTCCCACAATCCCAAACCTAGGTAAGAAGTAAAGACCCCAAACCATGATTTTCAGCATTCTCATCCATTCATGAATCAAATAAAAGTGCAGAAAGCTAAGTCGCCTAGGTAATTTTGGAGAAGGAACGATAATATCCCAGCTGCAGACCTACGAAAACTGCCGCGCTAAGTTTTCATCAACGATCCAATGCGCCATGAGATTCGAGACCGCAGAACTCCCCGCTATGGTCGGTAGAGTGACTAGTGGGCGGATCTTATATGGCGGACCTTATATCGTGCCTGCCACTGGTGCCTGCTCCCTAGGCCAGTCTGAGAAGGTGCGAGGAAAAGTGTCATTGCGTCCGACGTCTGGGAGAGCATGTTAGCCGCTTGGGTCTGCAGTGCGGTAGGAGCGATGGCAGGCGCATGGCATCTTCTGCAAGGAAATATAATAGAGCTGCGCTGTGACATGACTTTAAAAGTCCCACTTGACACTCGGTCATGTGGTTCTTCCCGAGAAAAGCCTCGCGCTGTCGCAACTGAAAATCCTGCGATCTTTGAGGTTTGGGTTCGTTCTTTCCCTTCCTCAGCTCATATGTTTCCAGTTTCTATGACTGGTCCATAACCGAAATCTAGATCCTTCTCGAATATCAGCGCTCAATTTGAGAAATTAGATCTTTGAACCAACTGCTTAGGTCCAACTTCAACAAGCTAGGTTACGAGCCAACTTATCCTGATATTCAATCTCACGGTAGCTTCATATGCGACTATCGGACCTTTCCCATCAATTGTGGCAATCACCCTGTACAGTAGTGAATTACCAATCATTTGATCCTTCTTTGCCCACCGACCACTATACAAAGATCTCTGGCTTTGTCGTGGCGAATAATTGCTGAGTGGCAGTGGGGTCAAAGGACTGGCAGAACAAATTACGCCAAAGCCGCTTTTGTCAAGGCACGCTTTGACTCTCTCAAAAGCACTTTGCTTTGTGTGCCGGACGATGTTGTTCTGGTTCAGTCAGTCAGTCAGTCAGTCAGAAATGTCAACAACGAATCGTTGGTTGGGGTCCTAGACTTATTGGGAGTGTAGGAAAGATGAAACCTTCTGGAAATCATGGATTATTCAACCGGTACGTGGCTCACTCGCTTGGAATGCCAATTCTGCCAGACGTACCAGACATATAGGGTAGCATTCGAAGGCAGAACTGAGTGTGAGCTTGACAAAGTGGCGAGGATTCATCATATTCAGGGAAGTGTGAGGGGATGGAGTGCTTGCCTCAACACAACTCGCTGCTGTCGGTCGTTCCGAGTTGTGCGTCTGAGAAGGCAGATGAAATGGATGAATATATTACAGCGAGGACTTGGAAGTAGCGGAAATGCAGGACTCATAGGCCATACTCATGTGGTGAAGGTGATAAGGCTCGTCCCGGATGTTGATTGTTGTCAAGATTTGTCGAACTTGAGGACGGTGGAGATTTTGTGAGCAAGTGACAATAGACGCCATTGAGATGTTCACTTCGTTGTCGTCCTATGTGCAGACTACGCTATTAACTTGACGTATTCTCCAATTTCAATTTCGTCTAGGTACTAAAAGATGACATTTCGATCCAAGTCTATGACTCTGCCATGGCTGGCTGATGATTCCTGCATCTGTGACTCTTGAGTGTATGTTGTTGCTCAAGAAGTAAATCAAGGACTTCCTCATTAGGAAAATGGCGAAATCAACTATGCTCCTGGATCCAACGAAGAAGATCCCAAGGAGAATAGCGCAATGATAGTTCGACTAAAGCGTGTTTGCTTACTTACTAACCTTAGCCGACATTACTTTTTGGCGAGTGACGCCAAATCTCCCAGTTTTCATCGGACCTCTGATGCTCTTGCTTGCTAATCTCGAATTGATGAGTCTATAACGATCGATCGCAAACCCCTGATCAACAGGTTACAAGAGGTGAGCTCGAATCTCACGATTCTGGAGGAGGGCCGAGGAAAAGCATCCGGATCTAAAAACGTAGGCAGGTCAGAAATCTGCATGCTAGTCCTTACCCTCTGATCCCAAGAGCCTTCCGTTCCTTATGGATCGGCACACACCGATGTCGCCAAACCCGAGCCGCTGTCTACATTTTCGTGACTGGCAGAAATTCCAAGGCTTGTTCTCGTCTTAACCGAGCTTTCATACGGGATAAACGGACCTTACGATATCTAGGTACCAAGGCAAGTTTTAGCTTCCGTATATGGGTTGTATTCCGTAGCCATCTCAAAACACTAGTCTAGAAGCCTGCGGCCGGGGTGACGATCTAAAGAATACCTATGCTCTTTAATGATCGGTATCCGTACCACCCTTGCTCGTGCTGATGAAGACTTCCCATGTCGTCCATGTGGGTAGGGATCGTGCAGACTTCACAAACTATCGAAACATGGTTATGGACCCCTATGATGAAACCCATTCGCACCGGGCGGTGGCAGCATACAAAGCAGGCGGGGCTGTAGGTAGAGCATCACTCTAAAGTCAGCCCTGAGGAAACGGCTGGGGCTGAGTGGAAGGAGTGGCGTTAGGTACCCTGGAAAAGGAGGGCAGCTTGCTAACAGGACTTTGTCTCAAAACAAGTCTAGACTGTCCAGAAATGTGGCAGACTCATGGGGAAGGGTTATTGATCGTCGGCTTCTGCCCTGTTCGCAGCCGTAGCAAGCCTCGCATACGGCGGTTCGGCACAGCATTGAGTAATAGAGCACCGACCCAGAGATGTCCGTGATGTTGATGCGACTGGAAGGCTACAGTTGACTCAAAAACATGTGACTACTCGCGTGTCTCGCTGTATCAGGGAACAAACGGTCGCTTAGCTCGTAATGACGATGAGCTTAGCTGCATACATCATTATGCGGGGGGATCTGGTTGATCTTGCACGATCCAAGGCATAGGTTTCACCGATCACTGATCGCTTCTAATATTATACTGGGGAGTGATAACCTACGTACCGCCACGGGTGGCTGCATTTGTTCAGGCCTTGTGCTTATGGGCGACCCAGGCCGTTGGCACCGCCCGTGAACTAAAACAAAAGACCCGGCCGTTTGTAGCTTTCGTGAAAAGACGCGACGCATGGCGTACGCCTCGCATCCGCGGAGTCGGTGTTCCGGGAATTTAAGATTCAGTATCAGTGCATCTCATGGTGAGTTTTTCGACATAACGGCGGAAGTGACAGCGCATTGCTGTGAGCGAACATGAGAGGCTATTGAGGACCATCACGTTACCTTGATGATTGGCCGACCACTGCTCTGTGATGTTCGGTATGAAGCACCTCTCTTGCGGATGATTCCGGCGCATGAGTCGTCATGGTTCGGAAACCATGACCAATCAAGTTATCCATTGGTGATCTTTGAGAGGACTGTATAACGTTTCTCTGCACACAAATGTTAGCTACCTTTGGCTTTGCTTGTGATGCTAGACAGTGAGCTTACCCATCAAGATCGAAGCTGTCAGGCCTGCATCGGCCTCTTTTGTTGTGTTGCTCTTGGCCATGGAGATTGTGAGGATATGCGATAGAGGTAGAAGTATGAGCAGAAAGGGCTAAGGAGAGGGAGATAGCAACGGGAACTTGGCCGTAGGCGGAAAGCCAAGGCAGCCACAGAAACATGGTGTAACATCAATGTCAAGCACCATACCTCAAACACTCGATAATTTACTAGCAACAGCATTGTTCCCTGGTGTGGTGATGAAGGAGTTTTCTACTTGGTCTTTGTCGCAGGGGTTCGAAATCCCGTACCTGACATAAACGAACCGGGCCGTGCCTGCTAGAACCCCGTTGGTCTCTGAAACCTGGGCATTGGTGTGCCTCTGTGTTTATTGCTTGCTTTATTTTTGAACCACTGCAGTCAGCCTCCGCGATGTGGACCTGGGAAAGTCGAGTGACGCTCGGTGGAAATGAATCAATGGGGGTTATCATCCAACCAGGTGATGGCGGGATGGGGATGTTCGAGGGGGCATGGTTGTAGCGAGGTGAAGTGAGGTGACGGGATTGTGTGAAACTTGGGACTTGAAAGTTCGACAGATGAAAGTTAAGTGCCGTCGAGTGACTTGAAAGGGGGAACACTGAAAAAATGCAACCGCGAACGGTCCCGAAGATGGGAGTCACTTCCACTTGGTGCTTCGTCGGGAATTTGGTAGCCCGAACCAGTTCCACTCGGACGCTTTCCCGTTCAAGTTCTGTACGCCCTTCTGTGCTGCCTTCCATTTACTTGTAGGCAACTTCTTTCCATTGTCGGGGTATCTTTACACTTGGTGAGCACCTTCCAGGTTCGTCTAAGGTAGGTGATAAGTACTCGGAAGTTTCGAGTTTATCCACCGCTTTTGGTTTGGACCCCATTGTGACCACCTGGAGTTCGACACCTCTAGTACACTCCGCTTCACTTCAACTTGGAGTTCGGTAGACATCCAAACATCTCTTGCCCGTGATGCCGATTGTTGCCGCAAAGTAAACATCCGACGGATATCTCTGAAACCTGCCAGCCACCTCCAGTCTCTGTAGTAGAATGGCTTGCCGC